TTATAACTAGGAATAAAATACATTGGATGAAATGGTTTATGATGTTTGTACATATCCCTCTACCCATGCAACTTAATTAATGGAGTTACCAATAAATGCAGATTATGCTTATAAATTATATAGTTTATATTCCTTCTTTGACACGTTGAGAAATTTGTGTATGTGTTAATCTTTATATCTATATGCTAGGTTTACCTCCAAGGTATAGGGACTCTGTTCGGGCAATAACACCAGGCTTGCCTTTGTTTCTCTACAACTATACAACACACCAACTGCATGGCATTTTCGAGGTTTGTTCGCAAACTTCCTATATATTGTATTCATTCATATTTTTTGGCTGCAATACTCTTGGTGGTATAGAATGTATGCTGACTTGGACTATCATCTTAGCTTATTATTTACCAATAAATTATTTTTCTATTCGAAACCCATTCAAAAGAAGGGACAGTGTACGAGAAATCAAATAATACATAAATGATAGAAGCCTCGAACGTTCGGAAAATGCTATGAGGTGTTCGAAAATGGTTGAAGTAGTTGAATAGGAGGATCACTATGACTATAGCCCTTGGTAAATTTACCAAAGACGAAAATGATTTATTTGATATTATGGATGACTGGTTACGGAGGGACCGTTTCGTTTTTGTAGGTTGGTCTGGCCTATTGCTCTTTCCTTGTGCCTATTTCGCTTTAGGGGGTTGGTTCACAGGTACAACCTTTGTAACTTCATGGTATACCCATGGATTAGCAAGTTCCTATTTGGAAGGCTGTAACTTCTTAACCGCCGCAGTTTCCACTCCGGCTAATAGTTTAGCACACTCTTTGTTGTTATTATGGGGTCCTGAAGCACAAGGAGATTTTACTCGTTGGTGTCAATTAGGCGGTCTGTGGACTTTTGTTGCTCTACACGGCGCTTTCGGACTAATAGGTTTTATGTTACGTCAATTTGAACTTGCTCGATCTGTTCAATTGCGACCTTATAATGCAATCGCATTCTCCGGTCCAATTGCTGTTTTTGTTTCTGTATTCCTAATTTATCCGCTAGGTCAGTCTGGTTGGTTTTTTGCGCCCAGTTTTGGTGTAGCAGCTATATTTCGATTCATCCTCTTTTTCCAAGGGTTTCATAATTGGACATTGAACCCATTTCATATGATGGGAGTTGCTGGGGTGTTGGGCGCTGCTCTGTTATGCGCTATTCATGGTGCTACCGTAGAAAATACTTTATTTGAAGATGGTGATGGTGCAAATACATTCCGTGCTTTTAACCCAACTCAAGCTGAAGAAACTTATTCAATGGTCACCGCTAACCGCTTTTGGTCCCAAATCTTTGGGGTTGCTTTTTCCAATAATTATTGCTCTGATCCTTTTTCAATTGCTATTGTGCAGGCAGCAAGCTTTGGTGGTTCAAACATTGATCCAACTGCTTGGGAAGACAAGAAATGTAAAGGCGAGTCGAGATTTCCTGCTCAGGTAGAATTTGTAACGATAAAGAAAGCTTTGTTCTTTTGGTTTTTGGCATTTATCTTCTTTTCGTCTTTGTGTTTGCGAGCCATTTATCCAATTTATTGATGGAGACTGTCTCCTTCCGTTATAAATAATTATTAGGTAAGGATCCGTGTTAGGAAACTCTGCAAGGCTTTGGAAGAAGATGCCTTCAGGCCAGTCTTGCACCACTATGATGGTCCCAAGTTTCGTCTTGAGCTGTCAATTCCTGAGGTATGGCACCTAAGTCACTGGTCGCATTGTTTTTTTCTTTCAGTTAAATTTTACTGGCTTCATACGAACCTATTTGATGATTTTTTCAGACCCTGGATCTATTGGACCTTTGCGAACAAGCGGGTTCTGCAGCATAAGCTAAATGTTGGCAGCAAGATGCCGATGTAGTAGGTTTTTTGTGGTGCATGTCAGCTGTGTGCTTTCAACAGCTTTTCCATGGAGCGCAAGCTTGGGGGTTAAGTCTGGTGTTTACTTTATCTTGTGGAGTTATATAGTGCTTAGCGTGAGTGAGAGCCTGCTGAATAAGTGAGTGTCTCGTGTGAAGATACTTGTTTAAGTTGTACAACATTTGAGAGCTCGGGTTTTATGATGATGAAAAATGAAGTCGCAAGATGTAAAAGAGATATGACTGCTCTGTAATGTAATGTAGGAGTGGTAAAACCTCTGAAGGTCAAGTCCTTGATGCGATGCGTCTCTAATCTATTGGGTTGTTCCTTGTGTTGGTTTGGTCAATTTGGAGAGCATCTACCATCTTCTTTACTCATATGGTAAGTTAAGTCTTCCAAAAGCTCAAATGCGGCTTGCGTTTGTGAATTCTATCAATTCACATGGATGTTGGTAAACTTGTAAGGGCTTTTGCGGGAAAATCGAAAAAATGGTGCATAATTATGATAAGCCAAGGGATCCAATGTAAACAAGAGATAAAGCATCCGATGCAGAAAAACCAAACAAGGAATTTTGCTTTGGGATGACAATTTGGCCCCCGAATTGAACTTGAGAAGAGAAATAATACTATATTAATAAAACTAGTTAGTGATATTTATAGAATTCAAATAGCGTGACGCCTAATAGATTAAAAAGTACATATCTCCGAGCAAGCCAAAGCTTCTATATATAGTATCTCTATCAAAAAAGAGAGAGCCAAAGTTTCAAAATAGCCAGAACTCCTTGTCTAGCCTATACCGAATAAAAGTTGAACGAACCTTACAACCCAAATCCCCTCAAGTACCCTGAGGCCTATTTATACGTGGATACGTTGTTCTGTTTGAATTGGAACATGCTGTCGTACAACATGCGCACTTGATCATCAACATAAGATGGAGATTGAGATTGAGATTGAGATTGAGATTGAGATGAAGTAGCAAACTGTTGATATTCAAATGAAAAAGAAGCTGCCGAGACTGGACAATCGGTATAACTTGGTTGCAAGGATAGAGAAAGCGGTTCATCATATGCAACATTTATCGGAGGCACGTCCAGAGGATGTTCAACGCTTAGTTGTTGTTGTTCAACTTGAGATGTAGTAGCAGCACTGGACAATATCGGGTCGTACATATATGGTGGTTGCATGGGATTATTATTATAGAATGTCGGCTTCTCCTCCATATTTCCATATTGCAGAGGAACTGCATCAATTCCAAACAGGTCATAATCCCAGATAGATGTCGTGCCCTTATAATCCGAAACATTTGATGGAGCATACTGAATGTTGTTATTGGCCCATGAAGTGCTTGCACTTGCAGATTGGTCCCAGCCATTTTCGCTCATCCCCATTGAACCATAATTACTAGGGTTCTGATCATCAACCATTGAAGGAAATGGAGGGTCTAGGTTGCTTTGAACCATGTCCTGCACATTATGTCAAAGAAAAAGGAGCATGTTAATTATTAGCACCAAATAAGAACATATACCATACGTGGGTTAGGCCAGTTGGTTAGAGCAGTGAGTTAGAGAGAAAGTTGACAATTAAAGGGTACTCACTCACCATTGGGGGTATATAATCTTGTATTGCAGGTTTCTTTGAATCGATCATCATCATGTTGTGTATCTTGTGGGCCGCTTGAATTTTGGCCTCTAAATTGTTTAAAAGCTCATGCATTTGGTCCAGTGAATACTCATTAAGACGATCGTCCCATGTAGGATACTTCTCTTCATAACTTTTGGTGCGTAGTTTCACAATCTCTTTCTTAACTTGCATTGTTTGGGTGGCATAAAAGTCAGCCAAGTTCTGAACTTTCTTGATCTTTGATGAATTGGACTTGTACTTGTCAATGATTTCCTTCACCTCTTCAAATTTCGCAGGGAAGGTTTGAGGAGGGGCCAGTTTGCCCTCGGATTTCTTCTCATAGACGATTGTACACACCTTCACATCACAAAGGGTGGTTAACTCAAAAGCCTTCTTAAACAATCCATTCTTTCTCTTTCGAAAAGTAATCTTGCGAGCTTTGTCGTCCTGAATCAGCTCCAGAGCTAGCTTTGTCTTACGTCGACCCATGTCTATGTTCTTGTTCTAACAAAAAAACAGCAAGATAAGATCATGTTAGAACATATTACATCGCCGAGTTCAAACCCCCTCCCCGTACATATTATCAAACTAAAAGGCGTTTTCTTCTTAGAACACATACCATAAGCATAACCGATAAGTCTTCGTTCTTACCAGTTAATCAGAATATATCAATGACAGACAAACTAATTCATGAACACAACAATGCGAACATAAATCAACGTATACAGAATTATAACAAAGGATTAATTAAGACAAAGAAGTAAGAACACAAGTGTTGAAACTAAATAATGGTGCAAGAAGGAAGAACCTTAGTTTCGATGGCTTCTTCTCACTACGTAGATTTAAATTCAATGCAGATAAGAAAAAGAGGGAGGTTTATGGTTCTTTATATTAGGTTTAGATCATGGGATGATGAAAAGAAAGGAGGTTTATGGACATCTCCTTTATACGGGAGGGATTGAGCTCTCGTCTCTGGTAACGAATAAGGAAACAAAATCATAGCGATTAATTGTTTCTGTTTTTTTTTCAAAAATTTCCTTTACGAATATGGTGTTAATTGATTAATCAGCACACAAAATATTTGGGATACCCGAAATCCCGATTCTTTCCCATTGTGTATCACCATTATTTGAGAATAAATTATTATTTTATTTTAAAGCTGGGTAGCACAATAGGAATCTTTTTTTTAATTTCCCAAACCCCTCCCTCCCATCCCATGAGAGAAATTATTAAAATATATAAAGTACGCGTGAGTCTTTATATGCAAGAAACGAAAAAAACAAATTTATTTTTATATGCAACCGCCCATGGAGATGTTCGTGTGCTGGTTTTTCTTAGTTTTATTGGTGGAAAAAAAAGGGGAAGAAGAAGAATGCTCGATGTTCTTTCAACATGCATGAGCTGTGTGACATACCGCAGTTCAACCTAAAATCCCAAAAAGAGAGCAAAATAAAAATACACGACACTATAAATTTCTTATGAAGTGATCACTTTAGAAAAAAAGACAAACCACAAGAACAATTGTAATATATATAAATATTATTACATGGGAAAAATGTGAGTTAAGTTGCTTTCCATAAACAATGATACAATTCTCATGCGTGCAGCTTTACTTCCCAGAAATAACAGTTGACCCACCCTCCAAGCAATTGAACAGATGTTGGCACTTTGCAATGCTGAACTAGTTTTCAAATGAGTTTCATTCAGCAAAGGCTTCATCATCATATTCCTACTATTGTCACGGTTAGCAACCATGATGGCGCATCAACGAGCTGCTGATACGAGAAACGTGCGAATTCTTTGCAAAAGCTCCGCCTTTATGGAATCGGGAATGGAGGCTGATGGGGAAAAGAGTTGACGAATTTACAATTGTTAGAGCAATACAATGCAAAAGGGAATACAAATTCAAACAGTAAGATTCATTCATTTATAGGTAGGCAGAAGTGATGATTTATTGGCAAACAGGGGATCAACAACTGCATGACATGAATGTGGGAGGGATTATGTCAAATCAAATCCAGGTAACTGAATCTCTATTCATTCTAAGAGTTCCTTCCCTTGACTGCCCGTATCATCAAGTTGGTCAGTTTCATTGGGACAAAAGGGATGACACCTTATCCCATTTGTCCAAGTGAAGCTGAGTCTCACTTACAGAAGATAGCATTAGAAAGAAATCCATCAAAGTTGCAAGAATAAAAACAAACAGAAAGCCATTGTCTACAAATGTATTTTATACATATAATGTAAAACCAGTGGAGATTAAAGTTAGTACTCTAGATATTTCTAGTATTAGCGAAGCCAAGAATCCACCCTATTAGATTGATTTCAGTGCTACCTTAAAGGTCAAATACTAATGAACATGGAGAGATGAAACATCATTTAAACTAATTTTGCGAGTTCTCAGACTACACTAGAGGGGTTTTGCTGTCCCTAATGATCAATAAGAAAAGAAAATAGCCACACCATCAGCACATACAACCACCATCACCAAGGTCCAGAAAACCACCACCCCCTGGCTCTGACAGAACCCACAATTGCAGGCATGCAGCTTCCTAACCTACCCATACCACATAGTATGAGACTACCACTCTAACCAACACCAACCACCCACCCGACTTCATTAAAATTCCTCAGAAACACCATCATCTAGACACTTCCTGCTCCATTGTGGACACTACCAGCACATTTTACGGCGATGCCCAACTCTCCTCCCAAACCATCCTTCATGTCAAGTTTTCCAAGAAGGTGATATTTAGAGCAAAGTAATCATAATATTCCAAGAAAAACATGCAATCATGTAGACAATCAAATGGGAAGAAAAAAGAAATATTTACCTCTGCCCCTTGGGGTGATTACATGTACAAGGTCATCCACAGTAACATTGTTCCTCCCTTTTTTCTTTATAAACGCCCTAACATAAAAAAGATACACATGGGTTGAAAGATGTCCAATTAGCAACCTTGATGGTAAACACTTGGTTGAGTGCATATAAACCTTGCGTTCAACATATAGAAACAACTTTGCACTATTCAAATTTATAACTCATGGCTGAGCCTATCTTAGCATCCAATTCTATTCGCAAACATCATAACTAGAACACTTAGTTTTTTAATACAACTATATAATCATACACCAATAGCTTAGTTAGCCATTTGGTTCCTTCATTTTCCCATATACTATGCAGCGTTGACCATTGATAGAGGATTCCATCATGAAGCTGCTGAAATCCCAAAGACAAGATCCCAGGTTACGAAACCATCGAGCCCATAAAACCATACCGCAAACTCCCAGAGGAAGAACATGGAAATCAGCCTGAATTAGTAGTCTTGTAGAGTAACCAGCAACCCTCAGAACCGTCTTGTGCAAGTAAGCTTAGTTTCATTAGCCACCATGAGCTCAAAACAATCCTCCTCAAGTGTATGGCAAAAGAGTCTACCTAAAGTTATGAGTGCTGGCCAAATTGATCACCACTGTAACTGGATTTATTTGATTTTTAATAACAAAGGGCCATAGTTTTGTGGCATCATAAATCCAGTGAGGGTGTGCAAAGAGACTTCCAATTGTTATGCATCTTCAGGTTCCTCATTCATTTCGAGGGTCCCCACAAACATCATAAAATATAAATCCCCCTCGAAATTACTTATCAAATAACGAAATTTAATTTTACTGAATTTCCATACACTCGTTATGAATTGATCACAGAATTGTATTTGATATCGGACAAAAGTCATTTTGCACCATAAACCTCTCCAATCATAACAATGCCATATCATTCTCATTGGTCGTGGTTTAGAAGCAGATGTGGGTCAAGGAGTTTAGGTGTAAAGAAAGTAACTGGGCAATAGTGGTGACCTCAAAACAGAAAAAAAGAAAAGAAAAAAAAGTAGTAAATACCTGCAAAGAGCTTTCATTTCATCCTTCCACCCACATTCTATTAGCCTTTCCCTCAGAAGCTCCATTAATCTCTCTTTTTCACCGCTCTCAATCAACTGAAAATTCAACCACCACCCGGAAAACGCTAAGCTAACTCAGCAAACAAAGGAGAAAGGAATAATCTCAGACTTTCAGTAAAAAATAAAAAAAAAGATGGAAAAAAACAAACCTCGATGTTGATAAGCTCTTGAAAAGTGGGCTCTTTTCCTTGATTCTCCATAACATCCGGCGTCGGCGGACGATTCACCGATTTCCTCCTTTTTTTTAATAACAAAAGATGGAGGAAATTCTATTAAAAATTCAGTCTTCTAACACACTGTGCAAAAGAAAACATCACAAGAACATAGCTGACTGTTGTAAACCTTAACATAATATTCATTAAATTAGTTAGCTTATGTTAGGTTAGGGAACTAACATGGGTTTATCAATGTAAACAAAACCCTAGCTAGCTTAGGTTAGGGAACTAACATGGCTGTATCTATCACGGACCCAGAAATCTACGACTTTGTTCGAACACTCTGCGACCTGAAGAGGAAAGTAGATTGATCACGAAGATCGATTGATGAACATGAAACTGGTTAAGCACTGTAATTCAACGACGTCGTCTCCGGTGGTGAAACGGAGTAGGTTAAATTGGGCCGCTTCAGCCCACTCTTTTTTTATTATATAAAAATACTGTAAGGTCCAACCAGATGGATTGGTTTGGGCCGATATATTTGCTCTTTTTGGGCCTTATGAGTTATTGTCCTCTTTGCCCCTTCCCGCTACAAAAAAATCACCAACTCCGGTCAACTGAAAGCGAAATGGCGGCAAACGGTCACCATAAGAACGGCTGTGGACACAAACGTACAAACGCTTGAGGGCTGGAGGACGCATGTTCAGTCAAATTAGACCCAATAAGCAGAACGCCTCTACTGTTACTCTCAGTTCAGAGGCTCTGTCTGTGCGGTTCCATGGCTTCCGTGTCCCTCTCTTCTCCGTGCCTGACGCAGAACCGTAATTCTCTCAGTTTTAGCTCCATAGCTTCCGATCATTTGAGGTTTGGTTCACCTACTGTTGAATTCGGCTCCGTCAAGAAGTATCGGAGAGATAGAGCTGTCGTCTGCAGAGCTTCCTCGGTTGTCTTTCGCAACCTCGATGCCGATGACTTTCGGCACCCTCTCGACAAACAGGTGTGATTAGTTGTTTACTCTGTGAGGAATAATATTTTGTATGGTCAGTGGCGTTTGTTTCTCTAGAAAAATAAGAAAATACTGTGAAAACAAAAGCCACAGCTTAACAGCCTAAGTCAGTTGATTCAAGTCCTTATTGACTCACTCTCAGTTTTCCTCTACAGAAAGTAGAAATGTTGACGATGCATAATTCTTGCCTTTGCTAATTAATTTGTATTTGGATTAGCTATTTGGCAGTGTTCGAAAAATCGGCCTAGGCGCCGTCCTTATTTTATTTATTTATTATTTTTTTCTCCTGACTTTAAAGGAAGCCACGCTGCCTCTTTGAGAGTGACGAGGATATTGAGTTTTAAGTCCGATACCGAGCGAGTCTTGGAGGGATATGTAGACTGAGAGCCTTAGCCTTCATTTCAAGTATTTTTCTTCGTAGTACTATTGTATGCTTTATGCTTAACTTTTTTCCCATGGTTTTTAAAAATCAATTATGGTACTTTATAATTTATATATCCTTTTATTTTGCATGATTTTTGTATAAATACAAAATAATTATATAAAAAAACCGCCTAGCGATTTTTCGAACATTTGCTATTTGGTAATGCTTTCTATATGCTTGGAATTTTATTTCCTTATTACTTGCTATTTAGTAATGCTTTCTATATGCTTGGAATTTTATTTCCTTATTACGCAGAACACGCTGATTTTGAGGGCGATTCCAGGATTGAATGAGCTTGGAAAGATTCTTCTAGGTAATAGGCCTCTAATTTGGTGTACAATTAAACTTGTGTCAAATTGTGTTTGCTAAAAGACTTGGGTTTTTTATTCTTTCTGAATTTGTTTTTATGGCTGTTGCAGGATCCGTTGCAGAGCAAGTCATGCTTCTTGAGAATATTGGAACATCCCTTCTGGTTTCTAAAGATCAGGTTAGTTCAGTTTATCATCTCTTGCCAGTGGAAAACTTGTCTTTGGGAAAAGCAAAAAAGAAAAGCTTATGCAATAATTTTGTATTATTTTTGTTTTATCAGCTTTCTGGTCTACATCGATTGATGGTTGAGGCCGCGGAAATCCTCAATATTGATGCTCCTGATCTATATGTTCGTCAAAGTCCTGTACCAAATGCATATACTTTAGCAATAAGTGGTAAAAAGCCATTTGTTGTTGTTCATACTAGCCTTGTGGAGCTTTTGACTCGAGAAGAGTTACAGGTGATCAATTTTTTCTTTGATGTTGATTGCTCACCCCGTGTTTTGTATTTTCATCCTTACTTTCTCTCAGTTCTCAGTCAAGTTTTTCTGCTGATGTTTTTGTATTTTCGAAGTTGGCTTTGATGTTCAACTTCATTCATACATTATTTCATATCTGTTTCTCTCTGGGTTTTTTCCCTGCAGACAGCATACGTATATAATAATTGGACACGAGTGTGTGCTTAAATACATGCATTATCTAGGGTCGGTAGTAAGATTGGAATATTACCACATTCTATCTGTCTATCTGTTCGCGCGTAAACACTCAGTACACACACTGTATGTAACCCACACTTGTGCATGTGTTTTTGTGTGTGTGCATGCGCATGGGGGGAGGGGAGTAGGTGCGAATCATGTGCTTGTTAGATCTTGTAGGAGTACTGTCTAATATCCGCTGTTTAACTTGAAATTAGGCTGTTTTGGCTCATGAGTTGGGTCATCTCAAATGTGACCATGGTGTATGGCTGACATTTGCAAATATTCTTACCCTTGGAGCTTATACCATACCTGGTAAGGTGCCTGATACTTTTATCCTTAGTTAAGGTAATTTGATTACTTCTGTTGTATTTGATTGGGTTAGTTGAGCGCCATTTGCCTTTATTGTCATAGTCATAGTTGATCCATAATAATTTGCATCCCCCAAGAGTCTTCCTGAAGAGATGCATAGGTTTTGTTTTGAATACTTGTGTTATTCATAGGGCTTGGTGGGATGATTGCTCAGAGTTTAGAAGAACAGTTATTTCGTTGGCTTCGAGCAGCAGAGCTAACTTGTGATCGTGCAGCCCTTCTTGTTGCACAAGACCCAAAGGTATACAACCTCATGTAGCTACTTGTTTTCCAATAAACTTGCTGTTTCATATTGGTTATCTTGATTTTCTGAGATCTACTTTTATGTGCCCACAAGAGGTGGTCATCTCTGTTCTAATGAAATTAGCTGGGGGCTGCCCTTCTCTGGCTGATCAACTAAATGTGGATGCATTTTTGGAACAAGCTCGCTCCTATGACAAAGCTTCTTCAAGCCCAGTAGGGTGGTATATAAGGTACGTGGCAGCATATGTATAGCACCCTTTGTTTGGTTATGCACATCCTAGGGTTGACTGTTTTAACTCATGCTGTCCAGAAATGCTCAAACGAGACAACTTTCACATCCTCTGCCCGTTCTACGTGCTCGTGAAATTGATGAATGGTCAAGAAGTCAAGACTACACAACTCTTCTGAAACATGCAACACAGATCACTGGTGCCAAGAAAGTTTTAACAACACCAGGAAGATAGTCAAAATCCAAAGCACTGTGAAAAGGTATCACCTCTTTTCTATGTTTCATTTGTAAGTTACTTGCTTTTCGAAGATGTAGTCTCACAGAATTATACTCTTTTTATCACGTATAATTTTTCCTTTGGAAACTTGTGCTTATTTTACACAGAAGAAAAATCATTGCTCTTTATCCATGGTCTTATGGAACAAAGAACAGGTTTGACTGATTGAGTTCCTGGTCTTTGTTAGTTGCTTGACACTTATGGAACATAGCTATTTCATGTCTCAATTATATCCTTGTCCTGCCATCATGAATGGGTAGGATACTTTCCACCAAAAAGAGAGAAGAAAAAAACATAGGTTGCTAGGTACAATATTAACCATGCACGTTATGCATATTATGCTTTGACTAGACTTCATTTTTGGTTGTTTTTTTCACGCTTTCCTTATTGTTTGTTATGATATATGAAGATGCTCATTTTACGTTTCATTCAGGCAGCCCTGCGTCTCACGGCAAAGAGCTACAGAGATAAAGAGGATATGCTAAGAGTTTTTTCTGCTGTAAGTAAATTCTGCAGATTGAGGATGCACAGGTCGTAACTCGTAAGTTGAGTACTTTGGCTTGTCAATCTTGTGAAAATATAAAAGACGTATGGGTTTTTGAAGTCATGGTGATACGCCTTATAGAATCAGGTTGTTTATAAATATTGATCACCACTTTTTCTCTATGTACAACAGAAACTTTATTTGGTAATTAAACTGTATATATTGCATTACAAATTTATAGTTTATAGAGTTATTTGGCATGCCTCCACAACACACAAAATGATCAACAGGCACGCTGTGTTGCATGCATATCCCGAAGTAGTACTCTAATTTTGTCTGGTATGAGAAGTGCTTGCAGCAATTTTTGTACTGAAAATTTGGAATTAAAGCACAAGAAAGCTGAAAACAAGAAAAGAGTGAGAGTTACAAAAAGTTTCGTGTTTGGTTGTAATTCTTAGAGCCGAAATGCCGGGGGCATGATTTGCATGAAGTTGGCTACTGCCCTATAAATACTGTGTCCACATTCAGTTAACAGCACACACAAATTCCTTAATTTCTTCTGAGCAAACATGGCCTCCACCATTTCCCACCTTCCAGCATTTTGCTCAACTTTGGTTTTCCTTATCCTTTTGAACGCGCTCATTCCTTTTCATCGTGTTTCAGCTGGTCCAGGATTGCCTGTTCCCCATCCTCCACATTCAGGCTCAGCATCTGATCGTCAATCAATACGTGCTTCCAATCCTCTACCTTCAGCTCCATTATTTGATCATCAAGCAATGCCTGCTTCCGAACCTCTACCTTCAGCCCCATTATTTGATTATCAAGCCATGCCTGCTTCCAAGCCTCCACATTCGGGCTCAGCTTCAGATCATCATGCAATGCCTGCTTCGCATCCTCTGCAATCAGGCTCAACTGAAGATCATCAAGCAATGCCTGCTTCTCATTCTCCGCATTCAGGTTCTGCTTCAGATGGCAAAATCACCACAACGGGAACACCGCGGACGCCTATTCTGTGCGAGAGTGAGAAACCTACTCAACAACAACAGCCAATGTCTCTGAAGCAGCTAGGGGTTTAATATGGCAGAGAATAACATAACAAATAATGATTTTAAGTAAATAATCTACGACATCCACTTGTATCACACACGACATGCAGTTGGATGTCAAAATCATGCCCATAAGGACCATATGAACGTTTTATGTTTGACAATTAAATTATTTTTTTGTGTTCTCTCGCACATTATCTAGTTATTTAATTGCGTGATAATGAGAATTGGATCCTCTTTTATGCCTATGTTGCCTCTACAAATTGACCCAATTCATGGGAAGAACAAAACAATGTCCATGCTCGAATGCAAAATTACGCCCACTGATTAAGATTAGTATGGAAACAAAATGCGCCGATGGTTTTGAGCAAAACAAATTTAAATTAAAGAATAAGAATAAAAGGGTTTTGGACCTCCGGGGCCCAAACACAGCAAGCGGCAAGCACCAAGTCCAGACAAGTAACGTCACAATTCACTAACACCATTATTCCCAGAAAAGGGCCATCTGTCTGTCACTCGTTAGCCCCAAGGAGCTTAGCTTGCTCCTCCATTTCTGCTGAATCAGAATCAGAAATCACAACTCTTTCTTCTATCTCTCTGTAAATTTGGAAAAAAAAACTCATCATCAAGGAAGGTTGAAGAAGAATGCCTGGCGTCAGAGGGCCTTCAGATTACTCGCGGGAGCCACCTCGACATCCCAGCCTCCAAATCAATGCCAAGGCCAGCCTTTTCTTCTTCTTCTTCTGCAATTCTATTCAATTTCATTTCTTTGATTCTATATGAATACATATTCAAAATCAATCAATCAACTGCAGGAACCTTTTAATGCGGAGCCACCGCGTTCAGCTTTGGTTTCGTCGTACGTGACTCCTGTGGATTTCTTCTACAAGAGGAACCACGGTCCTATTCCGGTAGTGGACGACATCCACAGGTCCATATAATCAACCAAAGCTTTCAAATTCTTCATTTATCTTTTCAGTTTCAGGGATTCTAACTCATTCTGCAACCTCTTTTCCCAAGCAGTTACTCAGTTTACATCTCCGGATTAATAGAAAATCCCAAACACCTCTTCATGAAAGATATCAGGTCATTTCTTGCCACTTTCATGTGTATCTGTGTGTATATGTATATGTCTATCTATCAGTGTATGTGTATGTATGCTTATTATAATGAAACTGAGATTTTAAACTGTGCGTTATTAAAATAATAACAGGGCGCTTCCCAAGTATAATGTCACTGCCACTCTACAGGTACGTTATGCTATTTCTTATGCATTTGGGTTTTCACCAATATATGCTTTTGTTAGACTGTGATGGGATTTGGTTGGTATATGTGGGCTACACAGTGTGCTGGTAATAGAAGGACGGCTATGAGCAAAACCCGGACTGTCAAGGGAGTTGGGTGGGATGTTTCTGCTATAGGAAATGGTTCGTTCCTCTTTTGTGTATGAGTTTCAGCCTTCAATCTCTCTCTCTTTATGTATGAATTAGCATAAACTTTAGAGTTAACCCTTTTATTGATTTCCAACTAGATTTAATTTGCATATGTATCATTGTTATCTATTTTTCTATGAATTTAGTGTCAGAGATGTCCTAGCTAATATAAGTACGTAACTGTGTTGTAATTGTTTTGAACTCATTACAGCTGTATGGGGTGGTGCAAAACTGGCTGATGTTCTTGAACTCGTCGGAATACCCAAGTTGACAGGTGCCACTAAATCAGGTGGAAAACATGTTGAATTTGTAAGCGTTGATAAGTGTAAGGTACAAACTTGGATAATTACTTACTTTTTCATCTGAAGCCTTTTCTGTTGTTTTGTGGCTGTTTTTTTCGTTTGATCAAAAGACTACATAGATTCGCTTTGCAAAAAGAAACTTTATACTCATTCTAATAGTGAGTAATGACTACAAATTATAGGAGGAAAATGGGGGCCCCTACAAGGCATCAATTCCACTAATTCAGGCCACAAATCCAGAAGCAGATGTTTTACTTGCTTATGAGATGAATGGAGAGGTAAGTTTAGCAGAGTGGATGGTTTTCTTGTCTATCTTAAAGTTCTGCCATCCATGCTTGTAGTCACATGCTTCTGGTTTGTTGCTAATGTTTCAAATTATTGTTTTGATTAACCTGGTATCTTCGTTATTCTTCAAAATCAGGGACCTGGCAGATTTTGAGTTTTGAGTTCCGAAATAAGTTGTGGGCTTTTGTGTTTGATGTTAAATGTGGTTAACTGACGTGTAGTTCAAAACATTCTCTATATTTTGTATATGTACCTGTTGCATGTGTGTCTGGCTTATGTTTTTGATATCGTTTCTTTCAGCCTAATAGGCAGTTTTTGTCACATGAAATTCATATATATTAATGTTGGGTTCATATTCTTTGATCATGTCAAAGACTCTTAACAGGGATCATGGGTATCCATTGCGTGTGATTGTCCCGGGTGTTATTGGTGCCCGTTCTGTTAAATGGCTTGACTCTATTAATGTAATTACTGAGGAATGTCAGGTTAGAAATGGATTCTTCAACTGATTATTTTTGGTTAATCTTTTGTTTATTTTCTCCTTTCACAGTTTTATGTGATTCAAATTTCCTTCACAATCTTGTAGGGTTTCTTTATGCAAAAAGATTACAAAATGTTTCCTCCTTCGGTGAACTGGGATAACATTAATTGGTCTACTAGGAGGCCACAAATGGATTTTCCCGTCCAGGTATGAACATTTGCTACTCCTGCTAAAATACTTGGTGTTTCTTGTGCTGAATGTTGCGTGTATAACTATAAAATTGTGGTAACCATAGCCCTTCTTTAGATTATCACAGGTGCAACATTTCCTTAGCCTAGAAAAGGAAACAAAATTCCTACAAATACAAGTTCAGTACTCAGTTTGTCTTACAGGTTTTTATATATTATTAATTGACTAACTTATGTGTTTGCTGATTCACAGTGTGTAATTTGTTCTTTAGAGGATGTGAATGCTATAAAGCCTGGGAAGGTTAGTTCATATAGCAATTTCAGTGGATATGTTTATTTTGCTTGGGATTATGGCATGAACAAATATCTCAATTGTTAGCCCCAATCCAATCAGTTCTGTTGCACCCTGCATGCCAATGGTCAAAGTCCCCTTAATCATTTGAATAGGCTGGGATTTTCATGTTATGCTGTTTCGTCATGAAGTGACCCCAATGATTATGTAGTTCTTTTCTACCATTCATGGCATTGCAACCACCCCCACCCTTTCTTGTCAAATGATGTGAATTTTTTTTTTGTTAAGATATGATTCCTTCCCCTTTATTTCTTGATCAAATTCTAGACCATTGATATGCTGCCACGGTAACTGAGATGGTGGGGATTGGCCCCTCAATGATTTATTGGATAATCCTTTTACAACATACATTGTGCAGGTAAAAATTACCGGGTATGCGGCATCAGGAGGTGGTCGTGGCATCGAGAGAGTAGATGTGTCTTTTGATGGTGGAAAAACCTGGATAGAGGCTTCTAGATATCAGAGGACGGGAATCCCATACATTTCAGAGCACACAAGCAGTGAGAAATGGGCATGGGTGCTTTTCGAGGCCACGGCTGATGTCCAACAGAGCACTGAGATTGTTGCGAAAGCAGTATGTTTAGTTTGTTCTGATGATAGATTATTTACCACGATGAGATTTTGTCAACTAGGAAGCTCATATTGACCATTAATAGCTCTAGTCCTGAATCATTAGGATGCATACCATCTAAAATAGCCCATATCAGAAATTACATAAAGAGCTTACGAGGTTGGCAAAGTTTGGTCTCAAACATTTTATGCTCCATCCAGACTAATGGTTCACCTGGACTATCAACTAGCCCATTTCTGGGAACCATTACCAATCAAAGGGTTTGGCCAGTTTGATCAGTGGTTGGACTGTCAGCCCAGAGACCATTCCCTTTGTGGGGTCCTTACTTCCAACTAAAAACTACAAACATATATTTTATGGTTTTGTACTTGCGTCGGCAGTAGGTGGGATGTCATAAAATAATCGGTATGACCCATGTCCTAGTCAGGTTTCAGAGCTCAATGAACTCTCTTTTAAATAATTAGTGAATCATGGAAGCAGTGTTTAAAAGTATTCCCTTGTGTGATTTATTTATGATTTACGGCTCAAGGGGTTTTTTCCCCACCTATCCCTAGTGTTTCATGCATCATTCATCAGATCCGATGTTTGCTGTCTTTTACTAGTCTACTTGATTAGCTTTTTCCCTTCTTGAGTAACCTTATGCGCTTGTCTCTAGCTTACAGAATCTTATTTATTCTTAATTATAAATAACCAACATCTGACTATATCTTCCATGACAGTTTATTATATGCTTAACAAATAAAAAAAGCATATGGATGTAAAGTTTTTTATACACAACAAATATTATCCACATGTTTCAAAGTTTTTCATTATGATTATGCATTGGTCTCCCAAAATACTACTTTCTTTTTGGCTGAGTTGCAGAATTACTGTGTGAACATAAGAAGCTTTTTGGCTAGTTCTATTCACGTGTTTGAACTTGAAAACTTCTTGTCCCTGTCACTTGCTTTGTTTTGTTGACATGTGTTGACTCGAGAGTGTTAACCAAGAGTATTCTAAATGCAATAGTGCTCCTACTGCATCTGTATCAATGGATCTTTGATGTTGAATCCTATTATCGTATCTGCAGTTTCTTTTTATACAGAACCAACCAGTGAAACAAATTAGTTCTCTAATTTTTTGTTTTTTGTTTTTGTTTTAAATTGTTTATAAAGTATTACTCTTTGGTGAGTTGTATTATGTTCATATCCTTGCCGATAGTTGGCACTTTCTCATGTTCCTCGTTTCATTGATGGGCAGGTGGATTCAGCAGCAAATGTCCAACCTGAAAAAGTGGAAGACATTTGGAACTTGAGAGGTATACTGAACACTTCATGGCATCGCGTGCAGGTTCGAGTCGGTCACTCGAATTTGTAGACCAAGCACGAGAAAGGAAATAATTGATCTATCCGAGGCTGCTTCTTTCTTTTGTGCAACATTGACAGACCTTATGCTTTCCATGTGCGAAGTAATAAAAATGCTTTTAGCATGCTCTTCTTGATGTTTGGACCTGAGAGGGTTGTTGAAGCTTTTTCTAATTATGCAGAGTGTTATTTGCCTTGAATATTTTAGTTTCTGCTGGTCATCTCTAAGTTTCGGCCATGCGTCTAGACTTTAAAAATGGGTATTCCCACGGCAGAAGTCAATCCTCGAATCCGGTCCGAGTAAGCCAGCCACGCTAATCTTATCCTCCGGACGTGTTAGTAAATTAGGATGATTGTGGGAGCTGAAAACGATTTGTTTTTCATTTCTGGGTGGTTAGTTGCAGTCGTTAAGATATTTTGTTGCAACATGATCTGATTAATCATAGTTTTGCTTTGACAGAGTCTCAATTTAAGGTCTTATTAATGATATGTGCTACATGCTTCGTGGGAAAGAGACGAGAAAGCAAGAGCCACAAAATTGACTCGGGTGTGAACAAATGTTAAATTATTAAAGACAGATCAGATCAAATCAAATGGAATTATTTTCAGTTAACTCATCACCGATCGTTATGGAATGATTAATCAATCACCAATCATTCCCAATGTTTCCTTTCTCCATCAGCCATCAATTTTCCATTTCTAATTTTCCATGAGCTTCCAAAGGCAGCACACCTTGGATGAACCGGCCATTTCCCCCGTCACTTTCGTAGAGTACTTTGAAGTTTCAAGCTTACCTAAGCCTGTCCTGCATTCCTACTTTTGGTCTTTTCTTTCTTCTCTCTGGCACGATGTGTGTCTGCCATAACATAACAGTAACACTGCACATGATGTGAAATGAGCCATTGAACAATTACACTGTGGAAAAAAAAGTTTCTTAATATCAAGAGGGAGTTATTCCATGACTTGGTTTCGGTGGAGTGTGTTTTTTCCTTGTATTGATCCATTCATCAGACTATAATGAAAATTTAAAAACAAAATGTCGACACTTAAAAAAATTATTAAAATAGAGAGATTCGAACATATAACCTCGATGTGTGGATAACTAGTCTTAATCACTTGATTACAAGATGCTTGCTTTTCCACTCTCTATTTTGAATCATTCAGACTTGATGATCTCAGCTCAAAAACAGAATGATCAGTTGGCCTGAGCCGCACTCGCAGGGCCACACCACAGCACATACTAGTGGAGTAGCTAGCGTGTGTGCATATGACGAATCATGATCCAAAAAATTAGTTATAAATAAAATAATAATAATAATAATAAAGTAAAAAATGGGTGAATTTGATCACGTTTTTGTAAGCTGGGAGAGTGGAGACCTCTTAAAGTGTTGTCGGCTACGAAAGGAACACATAGATTCCTACTGTGTGGAAGGGAGGAGAGGAGGATAGCATATATAATTTGGATCGTCCATATTAAACACGAAGAGACACCTGTCTGAATCTCCCTCTCTCTCTCTCTCTCTCTCTGCAACCCCAAAATAAAAACACGAGAAGAAAAGTGACACACCGTGAGGTTGAGAGGTGTGGGGGGTAGGGGTGGATTTGATGCAAGAAGCAGACAGGTTTGTATTTCCTTTCTAGGCCACACACACACTCTCTCTCATTCTAATAATAATCCTAGCTAGTGCATAAGTGTACTTGTTTATACAGTTTTCCGCTGGATAAGGCTGCTGCTGCCTCATGAAGTTGATAACAAACTCCAGCTGTTGGATGGCCATAATCTCATTACACACACACACATATATACCTATGGCGACAGTGTTACGTAGATAAGATGCAAGACAGCAGCCACTAGGCAGGCAGGAAGGATGGCTCTTTGATATTTCGACAATGAAATTGGTTTTTTATCACAAATGGTCCTTGATATTTGCAAAATTATCATATTTCGTCGTTTTTTGTGACACTGATGGTCCTTAAGGTTATCCTCTACACATCAAAATGGTTCATGCCATTAGCATCCGTCAAATTTTCTGTTAAGTTGCTAATATTGCACTTGTGTGGAGCCCACACATCCAATAGTATAAATCCACGTGACTTTAAATAAAATAAAATATATTTTAAATATTTTAAAACTTAAATCCTTAAAAAAAGAAAAAGAAAAAGAAAAATACCTGCACCTTGCATTCTCACTCTGCCTGCGCGCTTCCCCCCTCACAGACCCACCTTTTGCCTCTCTCTCCCTTCTCTTCCTCCTCTTTCTCTCTCTCCCTCTCCCTTTGAAATGGTGGAATCTCTTAGCATCCAGCATGATGAGTTCCCTGCCTGCAATTTTTGAAATAATCTTCAATGCATTATGGCAATCACCACAAACACGAAGATTCTTGATTACCCTAATAGATGAACGAGCTGGGCTGCTGAGGAGGGCATAAGCTACAGCAAGTCTCTCACTATGGGCAAGCAAAGCATCTTCCTTGCCTTCCTGATCTATGTCATGTAACACGATCTGGTCTCTGGAATGTAACCAGCCTCCTTCATTTGTTCCCTTAAACCCCTAAGTTGAGCATAAATCTTATCATTCTCAGGATGAGATGTATCTCCTGCTCGATATTCATGGACTCGGCTCCTGACTTCTAAAAGATTTTGGGCTGCTAATTTTTTTCTTCTCTTTCTCCTTTACAAGGTCCGAATCTTTTGCAAGAACAAGGCCAGCCTTTGATTGCTCATTTAAGTTTTAAAATGAGAATGCAGGGTGCAGGTATTTTTCTTTTTCTTTTTTATGGATTTAAGTTTTAAAATATTTAAAATATATTTTATTTTATTTAAAGCTACGTGACTTTATACTATTGGATGTGTGGGCTCCACACACGTGCCACGTCAGCAACTTAACAAAAAATTTGATGGAAGCTAACGGTAAAGACCATTAGTGTCACAAAAAAACGTTGGGGACGAAAGATGATAATTTCACAAACGTCAGGGACCATTTGTGATAAAAAGCCAATGAAATTTCCAATGCACAAAAACGTGCACAATGATCTTGGTGAACTGTCGATCTGATGCAATAATACAATGCCTGATCATGCATGGTAACCCGTCTGTCTTTGTGCTTGCATCATTTCATCACCTTACCATCACGTGATAAAGTGTCGTAAACACAATAATGTATTCAATTGGGAATAGCTAAAATTTTCCTAGCGTAAAACTCCCTTAAATTGTGCTAGAATGGATGATTAATCGCATCATTTAATTTTGGACAACATACCCACGTGAGCCTTTTCTTTTGGGTTTCTGTTTTTGATAGTCAACATAAAACCTGTTTGATGTGCAGAGATGCGTCACATTCCGCTTAATGGCCTTACTGAGTGGAGGTAAAAGATGAAAATATCAATTGGGCACTAGAAGAGTATTTGCATGCAACATGATTTGATTTGAGTAGGGTACGCCTGAGTCTCAAGTATCCTTCGGTGATGACAGCATCTCCCGTCCATAAATTTACCTCCACAAAGCAGGAAAATTTATCTTATACAAACTCACATGAAATACAAAAACAATTTTAACTCTCGAATCTTGACAGGTTAAGAATTTCATCTTTTTGTTAACTTTACATAAAAGGATTATATCACGTGACTATATTCTAGTACTATATAATAATTTCTTTACGAGTTAGTACATAGACGGAAATTCATCAGACAATTGGTCGTTTGATGAATTCGCCCTTATAGAGGAGGGGGCTTGTACCAACGGAAAGTTGGGAGACCTTTGTTATACAACTCTAAATAAATTTTTAAGCCATCATAAGTTTTTTGGGATATAGTAATTCGTCCATCATTGGTTTACACATGCACCGACGACTGTGCACTTTATTATTGAAATGCATACAAATAAAAAAATGGGCAATTCACACTCTAACAGTACCAAACAATTTTAAAAAAAGAAAGAAAAAAAGGGCCAATTCACACCCTATAAAACTTTGTGGTTGCTGGAAGCTAGTTTTTGCTTGGTCTGAAAGCGCTTAAAACTGAAAAACCAACAGCCTCTGAGAGCTCATTTTGAGTCCAAGTCAATATGGGAATATCCATGTGGCTCTTCACACACCCTAATATATCCTTTGTTTTCTTATCACTGATTCTTCTCTATGTTTTTCACGTTATTTTTTGTGAATTCCGGCGAGCCTATGAGCTTTCTTGCCAAGGCCCGCCAAGCTATCCCATCATTGGCTGCTTGCTTTCCTTCTGCAACAACCGCAACCGCCTCTTGGACTGGTACACTGACCTCCTAGCACAATCAGCCACCAACACCATCGTCGTGCACCGGTTTGGTGCACGACGCACGGTCGTCACGGCCAACCCGGAGAGTGTTGAGTATATGCTCAAAACCAACTTCAACAACTTCCCAAAAGGCAAACCCTTCACTGAAATTCTTGGAGATTTTCTGGGATGTGGCATATTCAATGTGGATGGCGAGCTTTGGCGAACCCAACGCAAGTTGGCTAGCCATGAGTTCAGCACCAAGTCTTTGCGTGAATACATCATGAACACCTTGGAGGAAGAAGTGGAAAAGGGATTGTTGCCACTCATGGAGTCGCTGGCCATGACAGCCCAAGTTGTGGACTTGCAGGAATTGCTGAGAAGATTTGGATTCAATGTGATTTGTAAGGTCTTTTTGGGGGTTGATCGGTGCTGCTTGGATCCCTCTCTACCCAGTCCACCACTTGCAAGAGCTTTCGACACAGCCTCAGACATATGCGCAAGGCGTGCAGCAGCGCCCATGTTCATAATTTGGAAGATTAAGAGGTGGCTCGGAGTTGGTTCAGAGCAAAGACTTAGAAGAGCAGTTGAAGAGGTTCATGCCTATGTCATGAATGTAATTGAAAACAGGAAGAAAAAGATGGAAGAAGGCGAGGCAGATACTCGTCAGGAAGACCTCCTGAGTCGGCTAATAATGGCAGGACATGAGGAGGAGGTGACGAGGGACATGGTCATAAGCTTTATCATGGCGGGGAGGGACACAACTTCAGCAGCAATGACGTGGCTCTTCTGGTTGCTTTCCCGCCAACCAGGTATGGAGGAAGATGTGGTGAAAGAGATCGACGCTGCCGGAGAAAGAATACTAGATTTTGAATCGTTGGATTTGAGATTGTTGAAGGCATGCCTTTGTGAGTCCATGAGGCTTTATCCGCCCGTAGCCTGGGACTCGAAGCATGCCATAGCTGATGACTTGCTGCCAGACGGTACACATGTCCGGGCAGGAGATAGAGTGACTTATTTTCCCTATGGGATGGGCAGAATGGAAGCACTGTGGGGGAAGGACCGACTGGAATTCAGACCGGATAGGTGGTTTCTTGAACCGGAAAAGGAAAGATCGGCGTTGAAAAAGGTATCCCCATACAAGTTACCGACGTTTCAGGCAGGTCCAAGGGTTTGTCTCGGGAAGGACGTGGCTTTTATTCAGATGAAATATGTGGTGGCTTCCATTCTCAGGCGGTTCGAGATCAGACCGGTTGAGTCCGTTGAGCCGGTTTTCGTGCCGCGCCTGACAGCTCACATGGCCGGCGGGCTGAAGGTTCTAGTCCGCAAGAGAGGGGATGATCACTCAGATAAAAACTAGAATATATATTAAATTAGTAGGAGTCAATGGTATTGTATGATTTGAGATTTATTGGACAGTGTAACATGCCATTATGCGCCATTCTTAATGTAACACAAAGATATGATTATGTACATAAGGCATATAGTAAACTCAGCACCTATCTGATTGAGTACGCAAATCATGATGATCATCAACATCATTTTTAATCTTAGATGTCAAAAATAATCCCAAATCATGTGATACTCAAGTGAAGTGGACAACATAACTCGTGCAAGTAGACTTACCCCAGTCAGTAGTTAAAAGTTTCTTTTAAAAAAACCAGGTTAATTAGAATACCCCACATGCGCGTTTGGAAAGACAAGTTCACATGCCATTGAATCATTGATGTCAAGGTCTGTCTTAAAGGAAGAAAACAAACGAGCCCTGTTTAAAAATACTCCTCCTTCTAGTCTGGTCAGCATAAAGCAATCAGAAATTAGAAATCAGCAATCACCTTAAACGTTTCATTTATATACAAAAATAATAAAAATGTCTTATTTCAGAACAAGCGAGAATCTAATGCAATTGGTAGGTCCAAGTTCCTATTTAAAGCAACTGCTATTTGCCGATTATTGTTGCTATGCTAGGGTATTGTCCGGGAGGCCTTCAATTGTAGTAAGTTGGAAATAATAATTGATTGATGCTTTTGTTTTTCCTGTTCTGTCTTGTTTCAGAAATATACAGACAGATTCCTACAATGACAAGCTTCCAAATTGCTTGTTCCATTCCTCATACGTACCAAGCTCGTTCAACGAAACAGAGGGCCTTACCTCTTGCAATGCACTCTCGAAGTCCTAAAAAAAACAAACATATTTATTATGCAAAGAAAAATAAACCTAAGGAAACAACAAACATGGTGAGCTGTGGAGAGTGAAATTTTAACCTGAACAGTGACTGCCCGCATATCCTCCTTTTTCAGCTTTGTTATTTCTATGCCTTGTTTCAGAGCCTCTCTTAGTGGACCCATAGAGGCATCCTTCACTAAGTTTTTCATGTCTGATCCTGAGTACCCTGGCAAATGAAACAACAAGAAGACAGTCAATTTACAATAGAGAAGACGATGACTGCATGGAGATTATCTACCTTCAGTTAAATTGCATATGCTATCAATATCCTCCCTTGAAAGTTTGAATAATCCATCCTTGTCTAAGATATTCTGCACGATCCAGGCTCTTGCTTCTTCAATACAATAATAGCTGGTTAGCCATAAATTCAGTATTAAGAATGTTAGTCTAATCAAACATGCTGTAAGTTGGTACCTGATGAAGGCAGGGGAATATAAAGCCTCTTGGTAAGTCGCCTCCGTGCTGCTTCATCCAGTTCTTGGGGTCGATTCGTTGCTCCTAGGAGATAGATGTATCCATTTTGTAGAAAAAAACAGTGAACTCGTTAAAACGGTGAAATTAAGGATCAAGTCTAAATTAGATATGATAAAATTCATTAACAGCATTCTAATTAGAGATTAACTGAGATTCAGAGGATTCAACAATCACCTATAAGAAGAATTTGCTCACTGCCACTGTCAAAGCCTTCCATTTCAATGAGGAACTGTGTTTTAAGTCGTCTACTTGATTCATGCTCACCTTCTGACTTACGCTGCAACCATACAGAATTAGTATCATCTGAATACATTCAGTAAAACAAAGTATAATACCATGAGAGAAGTGTACGGCATACATAGAGACAGCTATACCATTTCCAAGATTATACTTAACAGCTAGAGCAAACCTTACCTGTGAGAGAAGTGAATCAATTTCATCAACAAAAATTACAGCTGGCTGACGACAACTCGCAACTCCAAAAAGGGCCCGCACTAGCTTTTCACCTTCACCAATCTACAGTCACCAGTTAAAATTTTCAAATATAAATATGTTTCAAGCATATATAATAGGAGAATACTGAACTTATCTTGTGCCATATATCTTTTCATATCAGTCGATTTTTCGAAAGCACAGGGAAAATAAAAAAGAAATCAGAGAACATACGCCAGTGAACCATCACAGAACCAAAACAAACAGAAAAAATGCATACCCATTTGCTTGTTAATGAACTGGCAGATATGTAGAAAAAGGTTGCCTTTGCCTCTCCAGCTATGGCTTTCCCAATCATTGTTTTTCCTGTTCCCTAAAACAGGCCAAGGGTTATGATTGTTCATTGATCAGAAACACATTTACCCCCCCTACTTTAAAGGATTCAACACTTACTGGTGGACCAAAGAGAAGAAGACCTTTTCCAGGAGAACGACAACCTTTAAAAATGTCAGGACGTAATAGTGGCCATATGACCATCTCAGTCACACATTTTTTAGCGTGCTCCAAACCAGCTAAAACATTGCCACGCAACAGTGAAAATCAGAATGGCTTCAGATATTTGTGCAAAAGTTGTAAATGTAGAAAGATTAAAGAATCACATATTACCAATATCATTCCATCGAACATTTGGATCCTTGTCCATGATCTCATTACTAACATGTTCAAGAAGACGAGGTTCCAAGTTCCTCAATTTTTCTGGAAGCTCCCCATCAGGACCACAGAGCATTTCCAAACTGAAATTGAAACATTAAAGTATTTAGGACATGCATTCATATTTCGCACAATCAGTGTCAAAGTTACACCACTCACCATTTCTTAGTTGAGTCACCTAATGTATCATCTGACTTTCCAGCTACTCGTGAAGTCATATTCCCAACATTGCCCTCATTAGATTTAATAGGTGGAACAAAATTACCACGGGCACCGCGGCGTGAATAGCCATATGATCTCGTACTATATCCCCTATTAGTAGCATTGTTATCACTTTGAGGGGAGACACAAGCATTTGGTGAACCCGCTAACCCTCTTCTTTGTCTTGCATCCATTTCCTAGCCAAAGAAGAAACAAACTGATCAAAATTGCCACATGTGGACAAAATGTAAATAAGGAATAAAAATTTAAAAAGAATGGCAATTTTAGCTCCAGTAAGATCAGGTTAGGTAAAAAATGATTTACTAGAAGTTCCAAACCCTTATGGAAATAAACATTAATAAGAGGAATGGTTATCAGGAATACGATAGATACCAATTTTGCTTTGGCAGTAACAAAGCTATGGCTAGAACCATCAGCTTTAACATCTTCATTGCTTGATGGGGACTTTGCATTATCAATAATGGGGCTAGTAAACTCCTTGTGTGCACGTTTAGCCCTCAAGGTGTTCCCATAAGCTTTTTCTTCCTCTTCAACTTTTTGAAAAGATAAGGCACTGTGACCGTCATTACGGTTGTGATAAGAGTGAAGCTTTTCTACAATAGTGCAGTCATCAGAGCTGTTACTTCTAGAGCCCCAAGAACTCTTGGATTTACCATTACTTTCCATCATGAAGTTGTTTTTGTACAACGATGTCAACTTTGTTTGTGCCAGAGGTTTTGATAACTTGGAAGTCAACTTGTCCTGCCTCTCCAGTTGATCTCCCTAGGACAGACAGAAATTTTGGTTAACACGCCTAATCCTAATAAAATCACAAAAATAAAATAAGGAAAATATTTTCTACAAGCAAGATCAGAGGCAAGTAATACCAAATCATTTACAACCCTTCCATTATTAGACTGATGAAGAAGAGCCTGAAAGTACTTTGACTGCTTAATCTTCTCAATGTCAATATCTCCATTGGTGCCAAAAACACACCCCGGAGCTTTCTTTGCTTGCTCAAAGGCTTTGCTGGCACATGGTACTCAAAGTATTAGCATCAGAAGGAGAAATCTGAACCTAGTTGTGAAATAATTACAGCTACTAATCTACGCTCCGAACACATGGAAATTCAATATGAGAATGCTTCGAGCCATATGAGCAGATCACTTTCCAACTTTGAATTCATTCAATTTAAAACCTAATTCATATCTGGTTACTTAACTTGAGGAAGAGTCTAGAAATAATTGCAAGATCGTTTGAGTCACAATTCAAATTTAAGTTAATTCTATTTGTCTAAAATTCTTCAAGAAATGCACATAATGTTCAACCTCAACCACATTTCCAAGCTTCTCAATCAAGCTAAAACAAAATAAAAGAATTCCAAACACACACAAATGCTAAAAGCTAGGGTTCTCGAAGTTTAGGAGAGGAAAAATCAAGCTCTGAGAGAGAGAGAGAGAGAGGCGCACCGATCAGAATGAGGAATGAGAGCTCGGCGAGAGGCGTCGAGCTTGGAGACGGTTTCGCGGCGAATGGGGCGGACGAAGGCATGGTCGAGTTGAGAATGAGACTGGGATTCGAGGAAGCCGAGGAGACGAAGCCCGAGGACCTGAGCTGAGGAGAAGTCGTGCCTCTCGACGGCGAGTTCGGCTCCGAAGAGAAGAGAATGGAGCCTGCTTAGGTTATCGTGGACTTGCTTTCTCCAGCACACCTCTTCGCTCCACCCTCCTCCACGCTTCGCTTCCTCCTTTCCCGCCATTTTCCCTTTTGCATCCGCGCCTTCTTTTTCTTTTCTTGGTAAAACTTGCAAGATGTTGCAAATTTGTGAAAGGAAATCAAACCTGAAAAGTCAAATATGCGCTTGTTTGTTCTGTCATCTAGTGGGGTAGAAACGACTTTATAATTCTTCCTATTCGCAAGTTTTGTTGTCGTATGTATCGGATATTTGCAGTTCAGGACACAATTTTGCTTTATTAGACTTGTGTGCTGCTTTGCGTTTTGCTTTAAGTCTGTTAACTAGGGCTGGGCATTTGGACCCGAAACCCGACCAAACCGCCCAAACCAAATTGATGGGTTGGGTTGGTTCGGTTTTTTTCAATTTTTTTTTGTCATCGGTTTGAACCCAAACCAAATCGAAATATATGATTCGGTGTACGGTTTGCAATATTCAAAACCACGATTTAACCAAACCAAACTGAAGATATTAAAAAATATTATATATAATATTATTATAAGAAATATATATATATATAAATATATAATTTCAATATTTTCTTTTTCTTCTCTCTCAATCTCTTCGTTTGTCTTGTCTTCATCAGTCCCTCTCTCTCTATTTTTTTTTCTTCTCATTCTTCTTATATATGTCTTCACTACCTCTCCCCGTCTCCCTCTTCTTCTTCTTCTTCTCTCTCTCTCAGCCAAAAAACCAAAACCGAACCAAACCAAACCACCAAGTCCATATATAATTTCAATATTTTCTTTTTCTTCTCTCTCAATCTCTTCGTTTGTCTTGTCTTCATCAGTCCCTCTCTCTCTATTTTTTTTTCTTCTCATTCTTCTTATATATGTCTTCACTACCTCTCCCCGTCTCCCTCTTCTTCTTCTTCTCTCTCTCTCAGCCAAAAAACCAAAACCGAACCAAACCAAACCACCAAGTCCGGTTAACTGAAGTGGTCGGTTTTCATCAATCATGGTTTGGTTTCGGTTTTCAAAATAGCCAAATTGAAACCTACGGTTCAATGTCGAGTTGAGCCCAAAACCGAACAAACCCAGACCTAGCCTAGTCCTACCGTTAACAAAGCTAGGGAAAATAGAATATCAAGCAGATTTTAAAGTTTTTAAGAATCCGATTGTTATATTGATTTCACTTTCAGACATCAAACAGAAAACGAAACAAAAGGAAGGAGGATTCAAGCAGCAAACATAATTTGTAAGTTAAAATGGAGCATAGATAAATAAAACTGTCTAACATGTTTGTACATTAACCATAATCAGCAGAGCAAGTACATGGAAAATTTAATGGTTAAACAAAACAAGCTACATATATTTTGCCTAAGTTCAATGCGCGACCAGCATCCTTCCCGTCCTACAATCAATAGAAAAGGCAATCGTATATCCTCCTACATCTCCTACATCTGCTAAAGAATACAAAGGTTGGCACCCCCATCAAGAGCTCAACAGTCCTTTCACATGCTTCCAGGAGCATCGCTTCCTGCAACTGGCTTACGGTTCAAATAGCGAATAACAGCATCTTCAACCCTGTAAGAATCACCAAAACAAGATTCAATAAGTAGTTCAATTTTGTTAACCACATGTTGAAGTAAGTATGTGCGCATCTATGAGTATGATAACCAAAAGAAATATAGTAAACCAGACATCTGTGATCTTTGACCGTGAACACACGTTAGTGATGCAACAACCTTAATGATTACCAGCAAAGATGAAAGGAACAAAATAAATTAATCATCTAATGCATCATCTAACCAAATAAATGAATCATCTAATGCATCATGTCTTGGGGGGCAAATCAATTAATGCATCATCTAACCAAATAAATGAAAGGAACATCCAACATCACAATAATACCCAGCAGAGGGTTAATTGGAAGGAACAATTTAGCATAATTATCAAAATAGTGAATCAAAAGCTTTGTTTCCATCAAGTCAATCATGACCAGCAAATATTTGTCTGTATGAATGTGTGTACCTAGAAACAGCAACGATAAACCTTTGAAATGCAGATAAAGTGCGAACAATAAATTATGACAAAAGTGATAAGCTTACCATGGTTGGTGGAAAAAATCTGATCGTCGCTCTTTCTCAGCACTGCGGCTCGCTACTCCAGCCACAAGCTTTAAATCTTTGTTTTGAGATTCTATCAATGTATTGATAAATTCTACAGGTGATTGACTAAACCCAAGGAAAAAAGCTCGCCTGCGACGATGCTCATGGATTTTTCTTATAGCTGCACATATTGCTTCATCACAGGTATCAATCTCTTTGTTCTTCTCTGAGTTGGCCAAAAGTGCAGACAATTCCCTTTGAATTGGAAAGGGCACGTCAACCAACACATCATAACATGCAGTTCCAGCCGGACTATTCCCTGAAAGTTTTATCTTATGTTCCAAATGTATAGGTTGTGGGGGGAACAAATGCTGAGATATCTTCTGCGACACCATGGTGAATTTCATCTTTTCTTCCCCGAATACTTTCTGAAGAGGTGGATCACAGTTAAAGAAAGAGGGGTCATTTTGGTTCTGCAATTTCCTGGCCTTCACATAGTGCCAGATTGAAGCTATTATTCTAGGACGGGTTTCGACCTCAATACCAAGAACTTCCATCAAGGGTTGCGAAAGCTTAAACTTCTCTGGTGCATAATTCATTTCCAAGCGTATATTCACAGTAAATTCTTTGTCCCCTTTTCTCTTCACCTCAAATCCCTCATGTGGTGCAGGCGATCTAGCATTTTCCCACATAATGATATGATTCTCAGGATATAGTCTCTGGTCCAAAGAAATGGTTACTCTCTTGAAGAAAGATGAGAACTTCGGATAAAAGGGATTTGATTTCTGGACCACTCCAGGCTGATCAGGATCAACACCATCCTCCAAGATCCTCCCAACTATCTTCAGAGTCCAAGTAGGGGGCTCAGCATTTGGCTTCTTTGGAATTGTGCGAATCTGATTAGCAAAAGTGTTAAAAACATAAATGCGCAGCGTTTTCTGAATGCAAGGAGGGCTTTTAAGGGCCTCTTGGATGTCAACTTTCTTTCTCGCAAGAGCAGCATCAACACGAGCCTCAAACTCGAGCAGCTGGGTGTACAAAGCAGATTCGGGAAGAATGGTGGCTATTTTGTCTTGTAGCTGTTTATCAGGAAGTTTCTGCTTCTTTTTACGAGCAGCAGGTGTGAGTTCCATGGTTCTCATAGGTGACATCATGTTTGTAGGAGAAACACTAGGAGGGCGGACTGGAGGTTTTTGAGGGAAACGCTTGAGACTTGCATTTCCAGGTGTGGAAAAGGAGGGTGAAGACGACCCTAAATTCCCAATGCCAGCTGCTTGGTTCTGGCTAAGGGATAACGCCTGAGCTTGTAACTGAGCTTGGAATTGGGCGTGAGCCTGTTGAGCTTGAGCTTGGGCATGTGCTTGAGCTTTTGACTGAGCATGGGCAATAGCCTGAGCTTGGGAGAGCTGGAATTGAGCTTGGAAACCAGCTCCGATTTGTGCTTGAGCTTGTGATTGTGGAAATGTAGGGTTTGTTGGCATCGATTGGGCTACCATCCCGGCATTGCCAAAGGGCGATGAAGAGGCTCCGAGATTCTTAGGTGGATTATTATTGTTCATAGACATAGCTGACTCTAAACAGAAAAAAGATCTAAAACCAGCAAAATTCTAACTTCCCATACACATAACCTCAAAAAGCCGTCATAACATCAAAAACCCACAAAGAAGACAGTACATATACGTTATACAAATATAACTTAAAGCCATTTCCACCAAGATCTTAAAACCCAGCAAAAGAACATAGATGAAACTGAAACCCGCTCAAATTCAAACCTCTAAGAGTCATTTCCAAGTAACAGAGCAGAAGGCAGAGGACCCAAATCCATGAAATGCCCAAATTTGTAGGAGAACAAAACCCTAATTGAAGAAATGGCAATCAGACAATACGTTGACATGAAGAACCAAAAACCATAATTCTACAGGAGGGTTTCGACAAAAATATTGAATCAGAGATACATCTTCTTGTATAAACAGATAACAAGGAAAACAATTTCAAGGATAATTGGTAGCAGAGAATACCAAGAAATTTATGAGGAAATAAAGAGAGAGCGCAGAAAATGAAGGGATTTAAGCAATTCTTACAGATTAGTAGAAGAAGTCCAGAGCTTTCCACAGTATAGCAAAGCTGGTTTGCTTTCCTCCACCTGACACACGATGTCACCAGACGAGTGAGCTGCAACACCTACGCTATGCCATGTTTGATTTCGCTCTATTTTTCCTTCTCCTACTTTCCTTGTCCTATATTAACGTTTTTTTTTATTTACCTTCTTTCTTTTTCAAGTTGAGCGAAAGATTGAACGACACGTGTCCAATCGCATTGACGGGCCTCCCTCAAAACCCAAAAGCCCAGCCCACGCCTTTCAACTGGTTTTCGCATTAGAGCCTTAAACCCTAGAAGGCATTTGAGTTTCGCTCCAATTCGCCCCTGACCTCCCCCCACTCGCAGACTGCTCCTCCTTCTGCCGCCGATCAACAGCAATGGTAGATCTCTCGCACACGCAAATACAAGTTTTTGTAGTGAAAAATTACGAATTTATTAATTAATCTTGATCAGTTTTTTAACTTGAATGATGTAGGTGAATTACTCGAGGGAGCCTGATAATCCAACCAAGTGTAAGCATTTTTTTGTTTTAATTTACCCAATCGTATATTCTAAATTTTGATTGTAAGTTTCATTCATATTGATTTTATTTATTTATAACTACTTTGTACATTTTACCACAGCCTGCAAGGCCAGAGGCTCGGATCTAAGAGTTCATTTCAAGGTATGATCTGTGGATTAAGTGCAAGTTTTAGTTTTTCTGATTGAGTACTAATTTCAACCGTAAATTTCCACATCTGGTGGGTTTTTGGCATTTTTAAGGTTGAAGATTCTGATGAATCTTGGTTTTTCTTTGTTGACATTAAGATACAATTTTTTTGCTTACAAGTAGCAATGAATTTAGCTTGTGGTATTCTTAGACTGACTTGATTGTTATAATTTGGATTTGTTAATCTGTTTTAGAACACGAGAGAGACAGCCCATGCCATCCGGAAAATGCAGTTGGGAAAGGCCAAAAGTTACTTGGAAGATGTTTTGGCTCACAAGCAAGCCATTCCCTTCCGCCGCTTTTGCCGTGGTGTTGGTCGTACTGCTCAGGCGAAGAACCGCCAGTCAAATGGTCAAGGACGCTGGCCGGTTAAGTCTGCTAATTTCATTCTTGATTTGCTCAAGAATGCTGAGAGTAATGCTGAAGTAAATGATTCTCCTTTACTGCCCTGGTTTTCTCATCTTTGATCGTTCTTTTATATTTTAGCTGCGACCACAAACTTACCTGTTTTCCTTTTTTTGTAGGTGAAAGGGTTGGATGTGGATTCACTTTATGTCTCTCACATCCAGGTCAACCAGGCTCAGAAACAGAGACGCCGCACATATCGTGCTCATGGAAGAATAAATCGTGAGCTTGCTTTTCTTTTTCTTTTTCTGATTTGAGTGGTTACTTTCTCTGTGTGATTGTTCTTTAATAATGTTCGTCTGGACATTATTTTAATCTATCTTTTGCAGCTTATATGTCATCTCCCTGCCATATCGAGTTGGTTTTGTCAGAGAAAGAAGAGGCAGTGAAGAAAGAGGTAATCTACAGCTTCATTGTCTGATTACTTAAGGGTCAGTTATAAAGGAAAACCAAAATTTGAGATTAGTGCAATCCAGCCTGTACATCTAACATATGCGTCATGTGTGGCATTACTTAGATATGTGAATTGTGCAGGCAGCTTCATTGTCTGATTATTATTCTGAGAATAGTTCAATGTGAATAGGATCCTTTCATCTTAATATACAGAATTTGAACTCCAAAGTTGGTGGCACAACATAACTCTGAAAAGAAAAGTAGACCATTAGTTGAAACCATTAGAATGCTCATTTTAGTATCTAGGATAAGTGGCGAAGCATTTCCAGATGGTGTCATAAGTTTCACATTTGAAATATATCAAAGCTTAGGATGTATGTGTCCTAGCAACAAAGCCCTCTGGTCGCAAGAATCCTATAGTTTAGCCCCATTTCCAGTCTTGTTTTTGCTACATCTGCTCAACAAAAGAGATGCAGCATATGGCTTCAATCTGAATAAACTAATCACAAGATGATTGACTGATGTCATCTTGTTATTCAGATTGAAAAGAATCGCCATTTGTCATGCTTCCCTAAAAAAATGAGTTCAATGGAATTTCCTGAATTAATTTAATGTGGTGGATGATGTTACTGGATTGTTTATCAAATTTGAATTTTCTGCTAATTGCGCCTATTTTGCAGCCTGAAACTCAATTGGCTCCCAGGAAATCAAGGAAAGGCCAAGCACTACACAGCGGTGCTTCTTCTTGAGTTGTTTGGTTTAAAGAGTTTATGGTCATTTATATCCTAGATCATCCACTCTATCTTTTCCTAGAATGTCTCAGTTTTCAGATATCTGTTATTTGTAGTTGAGAATTCTGTCACTGAATATTTGTTCAACAATTTTGCTTTTCAGTGTCTGGGTGAGACTTTAAGCCTTTCTTTTGCTGAGTAGAATAATTTTCTATTGGGAATTTATAGTGATTTCGAAAATTGAAGCTAATCAATTAATGAGAAGTTTGGTTTTCTTGAGAAGGTCAGACTAGGCAACTCTCTCTCTCTCTCTCTCTCTCTCTCCACCTAGAAAGCCTCTCCATTGCCTCTACGTTATTGCTAAGGATGAAGGTTTTGTGGAGTTGCTTTTTAGATTTAGTGGCCTCTTGAAGAGAGTAAATAAGTTTTCGACTCCTGCGACTCGTGAGGATGACATCAAAGATGTTCTGTTCTATCTTAGTCTTGAGAGCTTCTTCTGGCTCCTATATTATTCCTTTTTCTTTTTTTCCCCCAAAAGAAATGTTTTTTTTCAGTCAAGTCAACATGCTTTTTATATCACCACAACTCCCCACCCACCAATGCTTCTATGCTTGCAAAGTTAACGCTAAATGCTCTCTATGTGATGGATACTCATACATGACCATGCCATCATCAGCTTTGTTAATAGCTCAGTGGTACTTTTGTGGTAAACAACTAATTGCTTTGCTTTCATGATGCTTGGAATTTATTTTCTTTATGAAAAGCAGTTCAACTTTACTAATAACACTTATTAATGACATTCTGATTCCATTTCACTAATCTTCTTTGGTAGGTCATAGAAACTGTCTGGTCTTTTTTCAAATTTTTTTGTTTGCTTGTTTAAACAAGCGATATTGGGCTACAAGCTCCGTACCTGTTGGGGAATTTGAACACGTGACCTCGGGCGTATGGTAATTGCTCTTAAACGCTTGAGTTACAAGCTCCGTACTTGTTAGGTCAATCTTTGAACCCATGTTAATTGTTAAGCATCAAATTTGAGGCTTGTATTAGTTGATCATTGCTCATATGATGGATAATATAAAGGTTAACCATGTTGTTGTGCTGGAGATACAAGGAAAGGTAAAATCAGAAAACTCCATTGGATTACCCCAAGTGTTAAATTATATATCACAAGGTTCAGACTCGGGAGGCACACACCTAATAATAATAGTAATACAACGACACTGGAAAATAAGATGAAACTCACACACACTCACTAGGTTCTGGTCATCATGGCAAAGCCTTACTTAAATACACCATAACAAACGGGAAGATAGATTCTACTTAAGGAAAATATAAGCTTCAACGCTTGTTCAAGCAGCCATCACGGAGCAATTAACGATGAAGCGGGTAGGGTGGGTGTGGCCATGTTCAAGAACTTGCCATTGCAATTCCTCAGCATTTGGATCAGGGCAGCAAGTGCATATGCGGGCAGGGCCGGCGAACTCATTTGATGAAGATTGGATGACAAGCAGCTCATCTCCCAGGGACTTAAACGCGATGCCCCATCCAGAAGTAGCATCAGCTCTCACTGGGACAACTCCCAACTTCTTCCATGACTTGCTTTTCTTCAAATACACCTTGAGCTCATTTGTGGAAGTTTCAAGAGAATAGAGCTGGTTGGCCAGTACTGCAATAAGAGGTGGTGATGGGTTATTTAGATTTGCCCAATCAGCTTCCAGTATGTCTGGGATGAGATCCCATGTGTTCTTCTCCGCATCAAAGGCTTCAGCACACTTAAGATCATTTCCATCCCAGTCTTTCCCTCCAATCACAAAAAACTTGTTAGCCAAGTAACAGCCAGAGCAATTCCTCCTCTTTCTCTTCATATCTGGAAGGGGTTCCCAAGATTTAGTGTTTGGATTGTATCTCTCAGCAGAATTCATGGCTTTCCATCCACTTGCAATTCCAACTCCACCGGCTACATACCCATAGGAACCACATGAGGCAGAGGCAAACATGCATCTTGGATTGATCATACAAGGACCCTTGGACCACTGGTTTGCTTCCATGTCATACCTCCAAACAACAACACCCTCCATCTCTTTCCCAGACACAATCAGATGGGTCCCTACACAAAGAGACTCCCTATCGCCGGTTGTGAAGCATGTATCAGACGGTAAGATTGGGAGCTTCCTGCAAGACCTGAATTGCCTATCAAATTCCCACCATGTATCCTCCCCATAGTGTGACACAAAAACTGAGGGCTCTTTAATCCCAAGTTCAGTCCTAATCTTGTAGAGCTCACCACTCTTCAAAAGAGCTAAGAAGCGCTTGTTTACAGAACAAAAGTTATGGTACTTTGATCTAGGCACCCTGGCCAAGATCAAAGCCTCCACTTCATCAATGAGGGGAGGAATAGCATAATCTGCATCCTGGGGTTTAAATGGTACAGTTCCAAAGGAACCGGAACCACCAACATCAAGCCTGTGCTGCTTGGAAGGCAATCCATGACAGCTCAGGCCCTCAACTCTAGGATTAGTCTCACATAGTATCCTAATCTTTTCTGGTGGGGTAGTATGTGAACTAACCCCAAAACTAGTAGTGGAGTGATCTCCAACATTACTAGCAAGTACCCATTTCTTACAACTCACAACATTAAAAAACTCCCTGCTTTCTTCTTCAGTGCCCACCATTTGTTTTTCGTTTGACATTGATCAGAAACCCTTCCTTCAAACCTTGAAAATCTCTGTGATTTCAGAAAACTGGAGAATAAGATCGAAGAAATGATCAGCAACTGCTGTACCGCATGTACTAATCATATCATCAATTAAAAATTTATGCATAAGAAAGCAACAAAACTCAAATGACAGGACCAAAACATATGGAAAGAGACACATAGAGAGAGAGAGAGAGAGAGAGAGAGAGAGAGACGACAACAATGCAGTGGGCTGATACTGACTTAACTAGAAGAAACAACACTATCGACAATAATTTTCTTAAGGAAGGAGAATCTGATTCACTGAGGCTAGAATAACTAGCTTCTTTTAGGGGTGCTTGGAAAGATACCAAATTCACAGATATAAGAAAATGAGACCCCAATTAATCAGTTACAGTTATGCTTGGAATAGATCAAAGTTGAAGAATTGACTTGAAACAAAACTGCCTCACAAACATAAAGTATAATTACCTAGCAATATGAGCAGCAGGTCAAAAACCACTTGTGCAGAGGTAACATCAAAATCTAAGCAGATAACTAGATATACATAACATGATATCATTTTAATATAATTACCCCCACATGAAAATTTAAGTCGAAATACAATACATATACACACATAAAAGTAGCTTCAGTTTAGCATAATGGAAATTAAAAACAGACACAACAACTACATAAATGCAGAGAGATCGTAGCCAATGAAAAATTTAATAAAATAAAATAGGGAGAGAGAGTACCAGGGAGTCAAAGTCAAAGCAAGAAGTAAAGACCCGGTTATAGACTCAGCAGGTGAAAATCAAAGAAGAAAAAGAAGAAGAAAGAAATTAAAGGTGGTCTGCAAAATTAGTCTCTAAGGCACAGACTTTAAATTTGTGAGGAAGGGGGGTTGCAACAGAAGAAAACCAAGAGTTTGAAGCAGAGGAGGGGAGAGAAGATAGAGAAATGGAAGGGAGGCCATTAAAGCACAGAGAAGAATATTGATGAGAGTGGAAGAGCAAGTACCCTTGTAGTACTGCTAGTAGTACTGGTGTGGTGGCAATGGAGAAATAGTTCCACTTGAAGTTGAAGGCTTCCCATTTGCCAAGCTTAAAGCTTAGTTCAGGAAGCTCATTCTTGCAGGGATTAAAATACACCGAGAATATTATTTTTATTATCATCACTGTCAAAGGCACACTACCACCACCAAGATTTTGGAGAGAGAGAGAGAGAGAGTTTTTATTGTTTGGTTATTTTTCTATTCGGGTTGAGTAGGAAAGCCAGTCATTTCTCTTTTTAAAGGTTGGAAATATAGTATTATATGTTAGGGATTTGTAGGTTGTTCACGCGCTTCTAATTAAACATGTGCAGAGAAATTTTTATATGTTCCGGGTATATTACGTGGCTGGTGTACCATTCAATAAACATAAGACATGTGAAATTATTGTCTAACTTAGTGCACTTCTTTTTATAACATGAGGCCAGCTACATTGCAAATATTTCATATGTATTCCATCTATTGGATGATACACTAGTCACATGATTGTTCACGAATATAAATGAGAGTTTGTCAATCGTTGATGCGTTATTATGACTCATTTACATTAAGTGATTATCAATCGTTAAACATGTATTAGCTACAATTCTTCACACATAAATGATTCATTGGAATGAAAAAAAATATAACCGCCTTGGTGAGTACTTAGCTGGGCCGTGGAAATAAAAAGCGCCTTCAGATTCGCACACATGTGCTACTCATGCTTGCATAAGTAGGCATTGCTCTAATGATGTTTATTGTTAAATTGTTCACTTCGATACTCTTAAACTCTTTCTTGTTTTACTCTTTAAATTTCATCAGACAACTTCATATATGATAATATGATATCCATATTTGAATACTAATTAAGGAATACACGAAAGACTTGTTTTGGGGTTAGGGAGATTATGAATTGAAGGAAGTCATGAATAATAGAAGAAGAAATAATAATAAATTGGAATTTTCTGAATTACGGATAGGGTCTAATTCAGTGAGTTTTCTGTTGTTTCTTTTCAATTTAGCCTGAATTCTGGAAGAATTTGAATTTCCTTTTTGTTTGCAGATTCCTATATAATTTATTTGAGTAGACTGAATCTTTATGGAAAATTTCACGTACGTATAGGTCAAGTAATAACTTGGAAATTTTGAATAAAAAAATGAATGTCATTTTTGGTCCATGTAGTTTGGTACTTCAACTACTTTTAATCCTGTAAGCCAAATTTTTTTTATAGAGAGATTGGTTACTTTTACCACCAACGCCAGGGCAAACCCACAACCTCGAGCCTAAATGACTTACGTGTGACACCCAATAAGGACTGTTGACAGCGGGACTCGAACACTGGTGGGGTTACACAAAGTGTAAGGACCTTACCAACTAAATCAACCTTGTTGACAAAATGAATGTCATCTTTAAGTACTTGTTCTACAATAAAATAAGATAAAGGAATTTTGGACCGAATATATTGTCCAGATTTATGATATATATAGTTATTTCTTCTTTCCTTTATAAAGTCACCTTGGTGTTTGCTATTTGCAGTTGAAAAGTAGGAGGTTCATCATGCACTCCTTGTTGTAGCATGGTATGAATGAATGCGAGGAGCTATTTATAGAATCAGCTACAGCTACAGCTACCTTAATTGCTTTATTGCTGTCTTTGTCCCAGTAAGTGATTAAGATGAATAAACCATAATTAAGCAAAAAGGAGTAAGGATCGTATCCAGATATATGCTGATGTGTTCTCCATAATCACTCTCTTACACTGATTTTAGTTTTAATTAATTGTATAAATTTGGAGACGTTGGTCTAGAATCTACATCAATGAGCATGCAACACAAATTAAACCAAATAATAATTAATTAAGATTTATAATTAGGCAACCCAAGAAAGAAGAACATTAATTGGAATATTTCTAGGACCATTACATCAGTCCTAGTCGGATTGTACACATCAAGAATATCGATAAAGCTAATTAGTACTACTATTTCCCATCTTATTATTATTTTAATTTAATTAATCCCCACCAGTTGCTGAGAAGAAGATGCCACTGCCAGTCTGCCGGTCTGCCGGTCTGCCAGTCTGCCACTGCACTGGGGGAAGGCCCCAAACAAACCTATCAAAGTGGATGTCCATCTATTCTTTAATCAAAGGTTTTGTGTTGTCTCTCCACTGATTAGTGTAATGGGATTTACCTTTCCTATTATATAATCCTGTTTCAGAGTCATAATCGCATAGGTTAGCCAAAGGTTGTATTGTTATCATAAACACATATAAATATGAGAAAAAGCAAACCATGGTATTGGCTATTGGCTGCAGCAGAGGAAAGCCTAATCAGCTTTCAGCCCTCGAATTTTTAGGGAAAAAGCAAGAAAAGGAAAGCCATAATAATCATCAGCAACCCCAGTTTTCATTAACACAACACTAAGTACACTTTTCATTGGCTTAACCTACATTTAGCACTATGTAACCTCTTCAAACTTAATCAAACAGTAAAATGAGGATTTCTTTTACACCAAGAATTGGGGGATGCACCCGCATGAATTGCTTCGAACATGACAGATGAGTAATAAGTGGGTTTCAGACTCTAGTTGCTTGATTCAATCTTTGCCCAGTCGGCTTCTAACTAAGTAGGACATATTAAAGTGATTGATTGCTTGACGAAGTTAATTATCATTTTTTGTAACTAGGTATGTCTCTGTCGCTTTGTACACCCAAGTTCAATTCCCCTCTTTATATATTAGAGTTGTTTAGAATATCTCTCGTATTCATTCATGCATTTCTTCCACTGTTGCATCACAAAACACAAATAGCTCAGCATTGAGCTCAGCGCATACTGGGGATGTCTCTTTGAAAAGCAACCGTCAGATATTGCTTTTTTTGAGAGCACCAAATACTTACTAACGTGGCCTCCATAATCCATAATATATTGCAATCATTAGAAAAATGAGAATTAAAGCATCAACATCTATATGAATTTTATTATTAATAATATTATAGAGTCTAGTACGTAGGCTATATAGGTTGGGAGATGGAGAATAGACCGACGCAGTGCAACAACAAAGACCTTCTTCTGATGCTGTGCAGAGGCAACAACTGCAACAAACAGTCTCCTCCATATCGGCCTTTATTTTCTTTCTCTAATCTCCCAATATTTTTTTATTTTCTTTTTTGAAATTGACGTATATGGCAGTTTGTAAGCATTATGTACAAGTTCATAGCACTAGAAGAAACTGGGACAAAACAAAAAGTTCAATATATTATTTTCAGATCAAAAAAATGATAAAGCTTGCCATTGACAATAACATGACAGAAAGAAGAACAGTGGAAAAGAAGAAGAGTGCCTAAATCTTTCTATATTGCAATTGGAGTGGCCACTATAATCACTTCCCATAAACGATGACCATTCAGTATGACCAGAAATGGAAGCCTAGCTAGGCTCCAACCCAGCTTCTACTATTTCATACAAATAAATAATTTATCAATCAAACAAAAACCTAAACTCATCCTATTTAGTATTTTTAGCGAGACCAAAAATATAAAAAATCCCATCTATTATCCACCCACTTTAGATTGACAAAAGGTATTTATGCAGTTAATATGACCAAATAGCTCTTACTTTGACAACATCACAACTTCCAACTCAACTCGGCACGAAATGTAAGGGATTTATAGTTCAAGTGGTTAAAAGTATTTATTTAAGTATGAGAGGTCCTAGGTTCAATTCTACCTTCCTCCAATATCGCTTGTATGAGAAAAAAAACAACGCAAGGCACAAAACATTACGGTCACTTTTTTAAACCGGGCCTCAACAATGTCAGGTCTAACTCCAAAGCAATTGACTAGGACTTACGGTCTAAGTTTGAAGTCCATCAAACACAATGATGTATCATACAAATCGACAGGACCAAATTTCTTTAAACCAGGCCCAAATCTATCAGGCTAATCTCACACTCAAACCCACTTAGAGTCTTGGACCACTCTGTCTATCCTATCCCTCCCAAAAAAAAAAAAAAAAGTAAAAAAAAAAAACCGGAAAAGAAGATAACACCAAAATCAGAAGGTCGACAAGTCTTAGCACTCCAATCAACAAAGTAATCCATGGCTGCCTCATCCTCTCTCTGCAACTTGTTCTCCTTCCTCAATCCCTCAAAGCTACCATCACAACCAAAAACCCCACCAACCCAGCTCGCTATTTTACAGACCCAGAAGACCAGAGATGGGGTGGCCCCACTGATGGCTCAAGGGGGTCCCTCTGCTTATGGCCCTTCTTCTTCTTCTTCTTCTTCTGTAGAGTCTGTGATATGCCCCTCTCTGGCTTATGCCAACACCCTCTTCTTTAAGTCGGCCTACAATGTGCAAGTTATTGTGGACGACAACGAACCCGAGGAGAGGCTGCTCAACAGGTTCAGGAGAGAGGTCATGAGGGCCGGTGTTATTCAAGAAACTAAGAGGAGGAGGTACTTTGAGAACAAGCAGGACGAGAAGAAGCGCAGGACGCGTGACGCTGCTAAGCGCAACAAAAGAAGGTATCTTTTACTTCTGGGCGTTTTCCTGCTTTTCGTCACAGTTCTTTTTTTGGTTGCTCGGGAAATTGAGGAAATAGGAAAGAGAGGAAGGGAAGTTGATTATTCTCATTTTTTATGATTGTTTGGTAGCTTTAGTTTAGATAATTGAATTTAAATTAAGATACAAATGTTCAACCTTTGAAATCGAGAGAAAAAAAGATTTGAACCTTATGCATTGTAGCTGAGAAGAACATGTCATATCTTTGCTCTGTGAACCAATGTAAAATGTGTTTTGTAATTGTTGAATGTGGGTTCTTTAATCCCTAACAATCCAATCGTTCTGTGTGTAAAACATATGACGAACAAATCACAGACAGACTTGAATGACTTCTTTTGGTTAGTTCTCCCCCCTTGAAAATGATTATTGAATGCTCGTGTCTTTTATCAGCCGGCGTCCCTTTTCAAGACCTTTTCAGCAGAAGCCAGAAGTCCCTGAAACCAAGAAGAGCGATGATGACGGCGATAACTGGGATCTACCTCAAGGAGACATACCCTATTGACCACATTCTGTGCATCCTTTGATTTGTAGGAATATCTACCCTTGATGTAGAGAGGCTTTGGTCCATGTAAGTTGCATGAGAGTTGTATTCAGTTCTTCCATTGACTTCAAGCAAAATCTGTTTTGTATCGTAATTTTTATAATGTTATGATTCTTCATTCGTGCTTCTGTATGCGGATAATTTGTGTTAATTGCGATGCTTTTATCTGGCTAATTGTGTTGCCGCCGTTTTCCCCATGTATATGCCAAATTACAATCTTCCATCATTGAAGCTTTAAATAAAAGATAAATTCAAGAACTCTCTGTTGCTGCTTCCAAGTTCTGAAGTACTTGGTATGTGATGTGAAAACATGTGTATGGAGCACTAGAAAAGTTCAAATAGATAAATGCTGTAGCCTTCATTCTTAGTTTTACATAAAGTTTCTCACATTTTTTTTATTTTCTCTTTTTACTGAAATGTATATGAAGCTTAACCATAAAAGCCTAGCATTATGGAGAAATACTTGATAAATACTGATCCCTACTCCCCTTACCAAATTGTGAAAATAATGGAATCCTTCGTTGCATATAAGAATTGAATCCAGAATTTTGATCATGATTAATTCTCTGCAAGTAAACTGAATGTAGCAGCAATAAGCAAATTCTTATTGGATGCATTTGTCTGGGGCTCTCCATGAGGACAATGTCCCCAAGCTATTATTTGATGATTGTCTTGTGAAGTTTCTCCAATCATCTAGGACAAGCTTTAGATCATGGACCTTACTTTCAATCTTTTCACAGCAGTTTGCTTGCATGGTATGAAATTCACTATTGTTCTTAAGTGGCTGACAAAATCCACCAAAATCAGCTTTATCAAGAAATTTTATGCGCATTCCAAGCATTTCCATAATCTCCTGTTCTGTTGCAATCTCACAGAGAGATTCAAAAGGAGTGTTGGGGTATAGGACCCCGACCAATTTCAAGTAGTTGAAGAATTCGACTGATATATCATTCGATTTCACATAAAAGAGCCCCCTATCCTGTTTATTGCTTCCATCTTTCGGTTCGAGATCACATGGAATTGTGACTTCATCTTGGGGGTTGAAGTGTGGTATTGGGTTTCTGAACCACATAACATCCACCTCCTGCAGCCAAGTTAAGTTTCAATTACGATCTGCATGATCCAATCTTGATTTCAACCATCACACAAGGAACAAGAAACCTTACTGTGAAAACAAGATTGTAGCCTAGTTGAAGCACTTTATGCAGCAGGTCATGTCTATCCCGACTGTGCTGGTGGAGTTGCTCTCCGGTAGAAGGTTTCGATACTCCAATTGGTGTGAGCTGGAAGCAATGGGGATGCAGGACTTGCAGTACTGAAATGCTTGCCTGCCTAAAGTGACAATGATCAAGTGATTCAAGAGCCATTTGGTCCCTTGGCCAATCCGAAAGCTCTCTAGGAAGAGATCAAGAACAGAGCCAGGACCAGTCCAGGCTTCCTCAACAATGGTAAGTATGATCGTTCTGTCTGCCATCGATGCTCTCCTCAAAACTTCCACCAACTCTGAGCTTTCTGGGTTCTAGTAACAAAATAATTCATCCACCAATATTATATCACATGGACGGATAAATGAAAGAGAAATAATTAATAAGAAGCATATACCGTTTGAAAATTGAGAAGCGATACGTCGTGGGTGGTTCCAATTGGTTGAGAAGAATTTTACAAACGTATGCATAGGAGCACTAGAGCTGAAAAAGCTATTAGAGGAAGATACCGATATTGTTTCATATCTCTCAGTCGACGGAGGGACATTGGAGATTCCACAGAATTTTTCCATCCACAATAATGCCGGAATTAAGGGTGATATAGAAATCCCTTCTTGCAAATCTTTACCTAAAATAATCATTGTATTAAAAAAGAAGGAGTAAGCTTTTAAAACTGTCTCTCTGATGCGGAGAATTAGATGGACCTAATAAATACTATAGTAACCTTATATAGGAAGTGGATTCATTACATTTTAGACATTGTCCTGTACCAATTTTCTCACTTGGTGCATTGATGGTGGGGTTCCGAGAAAATCTACCTTATCTCTAGTTGTATGCAAACATTTTCCTCACGTAACGTTCCCGAGAGTTAGACATACCAAGTGGTGAGACCCAAGAATCGCTCGAGAAATATTAAATATGGAGTGATCCTCAAATGGAAAATTGTCTTCCCAGAGATCTTCGCCTGGTTGAATCTCATGAAGGGTAAGACAAAGAAGAGAACAGATTTACAATAAAACTAACATTAATAGTTTGAAATCACCGGTTAAAATGTGTTTGATTGATTGGTTAATTAGTGATCATTTCACCAATTTTCTAGAGGACCGAACTACTAATTTTCTATTTAAACACCCAACGCTAGCTTTGTTTTTAAACCAGAAAAAGTGCACACCAAGAAACAGACACTTTTTCTACACTCATTTACGACCAGAGTTTAGTTTTCTCTCATCATGTCGGAGTCCAATGCCAATACTGGTTTCATGGTTAGTGTCGTTTATCTCTCTGTTCTTAATTTCCAAGTTATTTGTTTTTTATTTTTTATTTTATTCTTTTTTGCCAAAATGGTTCTGTAGACTTGTGAATTGAAATTGGATACCCGTTCCCCTGGATGGCATAAGACCATGATCAAAGTTTTGAAGAATGTCAGTGGTAAGCATGCTTGTTTCCTATATACTATATATACATAAAAAGATGTATATATGTAAGTTCAGTCAGTTGGTTAGGGCAGTGATTCCGCCCCAAAATTTGAGTCCTCCTCATATATTACACATTAGAGTAGTTCAGACTATCGCTTATATATATAAAAGAAAAAAAAAACTAATACTATTGTTTTTTATCACTTAATTCAATTTTGATTATAATTAATGAAGGAGTATCTTATACCATTGATGCACAAGCCGGAATAGCATGTGTTTCGGGGACGGTGGATCCGAGCACCCTTCTGACGTTATTTGCAAAAGCAGGGAAGCATGCAGAGCTGCTGAGGGTTCATTCTGGACAACATTATCACTTCTCTGGTGTCAAACCTGTTGTTGACACTTACAACACACATGGAAATGGTTGCGGGACTAATTACGATCGCACTCAGGATAGAACCCTTGCAACAACAACAGCCCACCACGTACACCACTACCATCGGCCGCCGCCGCGGCCGGAAGACTCCCAATGCTCCATTCTCTGATCACTCAATAATGACCTTAATTTAAAACGCAAAATGTAACATTATAGGATGCTTGGTTTTTTGGTTTCTACTTGTGCATGGAATTTTTGTTTTTCCCTTCTTCCCAATTTTTAAGGGCATGTTAGGGAGTTCATATTTTGCAATTTCTCTGGTTTTTTGAGGAGAATAATGTAGAATCATAATGGACATTATATTTGAATCTTAACTAAGTCTTCACTTTTTTGGCTTTTTTTTTTTTTTTTTGGTTATTTCTTTTAGGCTTAATTATGTGCATGCCCCCTGTGCTTTCCAACTTATCTCAGATTATCACTTGTGTTTGCAAACGGCTCAAAGTACCCCCTAACGTTTAAAAAACCGTCTCACGTTACCCTTTCCGTCAGTTTTTTTGAAGTTCCGTTACGAATGTTGCTGTTCATCTCCCCAAAATTCCAAAACAGCAGTCCATCCCCTTTGTTACTATTCATCACTTATTTACCCTCCAAAACTCATAAATTTCTCATAACCAACACAACTAGCAGCAAGAACAGCTCGAGAAGTTGAAAAACCATACTTGGATCGAAGCAAATAGTGCTCGAAGAGGAGGCTATGATATGTCTATACTGGGAAGATTCAAGAATCTATGAAGATATTAAGACCCTATTGCTTCAGGTGCCGGAGTCTTGTTTCAGTTTATTCCTAGAGAAGCCAATTGCGTTGTGCATAGACTGGGTAGACTTGGTTGTGTGTAGAGAGGTCGTCGATTTGGGTGGAGGTGCCCTTGATTTTATTCGAGACACCCTTATATTTGATTGTATGAGTCGGAATCAAGTTCCGTGCCCTGTCTTACTTGTTTCTTAATAAATGACTCCTCGAGGTTTGATTAAAAACAAAATACTAAGGTCTCAATTTAATTTATTTAGTTTTTAATCTTTTCACCAAAAGATATACTAAGGTCTCAATAATTCATATATGAAGCTGATCCAACCATAAAATCCTGCGTAAGAACATGTATTAGGTGAATTAATCCTCTATAGGCAAATTCTTACCCATTATGCATTTTGTGAAGGGCTCTTCATGATGACAATATTATGCAATCTAGGATAAGCTTGGGATCATGGACCTCACTTCCAATGCTTTCACCGCAGTTGGCTTGCATGTCATATGCCTCATCGTTAGTCTTACTGAGGCAGACAAAAACATTTTATTAATCTCGTTTTTTATTTATAAATTATGATCTCACTCACAGAGATATTCAAAGAGAAAACGTTATTAAGCATTATATAATTTACAATAAAATTTGGCGTAAAGTGTTATCAATCTTTAGGAAGGGACTCGGATTCAAACTTGTAAGTAACTGGGGATCGAAAACATTGTCCTACACTAATTTATTTTTAGAGAAAGGCGGATAGTATTTTATTAAAAAGAAACTGAATAACTAGTATAAAAATCATGCTATGTCATACACTGATTTAAATATGAAATCTCCGTACATCTCATGAGGTTCTTAAAAAAATAAATCTTCAGTACGTAACGTATAGATATCCGTTCTTGCAAATCTTTACCTAAAATAATAATTTATATTAACCTTATACTGTTGCGGAGAATTAGATGAACCTAATAAATACTATATTAACCTTATATAGGAAGTGGATCCATCACATTTTAGACATTTTCCTAAACCAATTTTCTCATTTGGTGCATTGATGGTAGGGTTCCTAGAAAACCTACCTTATCTAGAGTTGTATACAATTGTGGGATCTTTTTTTTTTTGTTGGATACAATTGTGGGAATGAGAATGAGATATCTCCAAATCCTAAAGAATTTTGTTAACATGCAGAAATATGGAGTGATCCTCCAAATGGAAAATTTTCTTCTCAGAGATCTTCGCCTGGTTGAATCTCATGAAGGATAAGAAAGAGAAGAGAAATAGTTTGAAATCACCGGTTGAAATGTGTTTGATTGATTGGTTAATTAGTGATCATAATTAATGCAAAACATTCCCGACAAATCATAGCCCATATTTTCTGGAGGCCCGACCTACTAATTTTCTATTTAAACACCCAACGTTAGCCCGGTTTTAAACCAGAAAAGTGCACACACCAAGAAGCAGACACTTTCCTCAACTCGTTTACGACCATACTTTAGTTTTCTCTCATCATGTCGGAGTCCGATGGCAATACTGGTTTCATGGTTAGTGTCGTTTATCTCCCTCCCTGTTCTTAATTTCCAAGTTTTTTTTTTTAATTTTTTTTGTCAAAATGGTTGTGTAGAGTTGTCAATTGAAATTGGATACCAGCACCCCTGGATGGCATAAGACCATGACCAAAGTTTTGAGCAAAATCAAGGGTATGTACGTCTATATACATACATAGATTATTATATATTTCTTCTTTAAATTCATGATTTGCACCATTGGTTTTGTGTTAATCTCGTTGTTCTTGAATCTTAATCACTAAATTAATCGTCTGATTTGTTATTAGGGTTGTCTTACACCATTGATGCACAAGCCGGGATTGCGCATGTTTCGGGCACAATCGAGCCGGACGCCCTTCTCAAGTTATTATCAAAATCAGGGAAGCATGCCGAGCTGCTTAGGATTGACTCAGGATACAAGCATCAGTTCTACACGGCAAAGCCTGTTGCTAATTACAGAAATGGACAGGGTTATGGGCAGGGTTATGGGCAGGGTTATTATAATAATCATGATTATGGATATTATAATCCCAATGGAACAGGTAATTCCTACCATATAGCAACAGATCCCTACCATCATCAGCGGTACTACCCTAATTACTATGATCAGACGGCGCAACCCCTCAGTTTTCCACAACCACCGCCGCGGATGGAGATTCACCCTTTTTATGATCCGGACACCCAATGCACCATCATGTGATCATCTATAGAAATTAAAATGCCATGGATTTAGGGTTGGCGTTTTAATATTACATATATGAATCCCACTACATATAAAATGTGGGTTATGAAGTTTGGTTTTTCCCTTCTTCTCCAATATTTGGGAGTTGTTAAGGGGTTTAATTTAGTTTGCGATTCTCCGATTATTAAAGGAGAATGTTGAAAATTGAGAATGTTGAAAATTTTTGAACGGAGTTGTTCTCCATATATTTATAATTATATGAAGTCAGGGTTTGAGTGTACTTGTCTCAATGTTTTTGCAAGAGTGTAGACTTGAACTGTCATCTATATATGTATATATTTTCGTTACATGATCATTGGATCCACTGGTTCGAATACTTTGAGAGATGAGATGAGCCCCCTCCTCTCCTCAGGCCCCAACATAGAGCAACATTGAAATAGCCCACAGTCCTAGTCCTACAGATGTACTGAATGCACATCGTCTGGATATTTGAAACCGATCTGAAATGGACAAATGAATTTTGTGAATTGTGTAACGCTCGAGTTTGGTTGATCGAGATCGGTATGCTAATTCGAAATGCAAGTCCATCCAACTTAAAGAAAACCTTCTTTTTTCGTTCGTTCAATAAAATCTTTCGCAATCCTTTGCTGTTATTTTACTCTCCTTTTCTGCCAGTAGAATTTGGTAAGTTCTTAAACACGTTTGTTTTGTTTTTTTTTATAAAGAGAAAAAAAAAAGGAATCAAAATTAACTGACCTATGATTTAAGTACACTCTAATATTTAAATTAAAATATAAAATTAACTAAGTACACCATATTTAACTACCAAAAATATTAATTGTATATCTTAATACACTCTATCACACAACACCAAACCTTTTCGAGAGCTGCCATGAAACTTAAACACATTGATTATATAGCTTGTAAAGTTTATATAAATATGATAAAACATTGGTTTTCAAAAGACGTGTGAAAATATGTTTCATATGAGCAACACGTTAAAAACAAGAGAAAAAAAAGTCTTAAAACTTGTTCATTGGTCATCAAATTGGAAAAAAAGAAGAAGGGTTGTTGTGTGGCTGCTGGGATTCGAGCCCAGGTCTCCACGGCCACAACGTGGAATTCTTACCACTAAACTACAGCCACGAGTTGATGAGAGGTGCTCACAACATAATATATATAGCTGTTTCTACAGTTTACGTTATGTAGACATCTGGGCCTTTGGGAAACACATGAAGATCCAGGGCCAAGTTGGCCAAGCTCATTTACTTTGTTGTTGATCTGGATCTACTTTCGAAAACCAGGGCCTCCATAACAAAAACGATTTTCGTTTTTTTTAATACAAGTAATAATCTAAACTATAAGAAAATGAGAGATTTCTCTCACACACATTACTAAGGTGTCATAGGTATTTGAACTTAAGATCTACTGATGTGCAAGTCGCTAGACTACACCTGAGAAAAGAAGAGCAAGCTACAAATTACAATAGGATGGGATTGGTGGTGGGGCCGTGGAAATAGGACCGGTGGTGTGAAGAAGGCATCCACATCCACCTACACATGGCATGGCAACCTGCGTACTCCGGAACAATTCTGGTCCAATTCGGCGGAACATGAAGAATACCAAATTGTTATTGTCCATGGAAATGAAATCCGAATGGGTCCGACAACATACAAATGCAAATCACATATTATATTAATGATACAGTGGATAAACTGGCTTTTCAATAACCCCAAAGGCCACATCTTATGCGCACCGTTGATCTCCGCCATCTGATGATGATCGGATGTTGACACGTGCTCTGCCCCAAGTGGCTCTCGCATTTTGTGCCTATCTGTCTAGAGAACGAGGTGGCAGATTGCTGATACGCCAGACATTAATAACATAATAATTTGTGCGTAGCTTGTGCATTATTGTTTAGAAAAATGCACAAGTCATGTAAAATCCGTAGCTATCAATCATGCGCCCAAAATCGATTGCGTAGATTCAAACGCAACTCATTTGTGCAGATTATTAAGAAACAATCCACAAATATTCTTAAATTCAAGAAATATGGAAAGGAAAATGGATGATCATATCATTGATAATAACAATTGATAGCAATGTGTTATGTGACTTTACTTGAATCATTATTACCATACGTCCAAACCTCCTAACCTATTATTTAGTATTTCCGAGTAAGGATTCAGATAGGTAACGAAAGAAAATATACAGGACGAGAAGATGTGTCCATAAGCCTTGGCCTTTTATTACAGGACGAGAAGATGCCATCGTATATGTATTACATAGAGTAATGCCACTCTTGTCATGTATGTACAACAACGAACAAGTGTCAATATATGTGTGTATTTATTTATAAAGATACATAGATAGGACTGCATGACAGCTTCTCGCCAATCTAACATTCGTAGCAAATAAGAGTAGCTGTCTCTCTCTCTCTCTCTGTGTTTGCAACTTCCATTGGCTCGATGGAGGAAAATTCAAACCAATGTGCAGCAGAATCAGCTGCAATTCCTCTCAACATGGAGGGAGAATCTAATGATGGGGAAGAAAGAGATCCAGAAAGCATTTCACTCAGCCAACCACTCCTCCGGAGAAACCGGACACTCTCTTCCAGTCCACTGGCTATAGTTGGAGCAAAAGTCTCCTACATAGAGAGCTTGGACTACGAGTAAGAACTAAAACACATCCCATTTCTAGTTTCACTTGAAAGCAACTCCTAAATCCTTATTCTCTTCATCTTCACATTGAATTGAAGTTGGTTTGATGCAGGATCAACGAGAATGATCTCTTTAAGCATGACTGGAGAAGCAGATCCAAAGTCCAAGTCTTGCAGTATATATTCTTGAAATGGATCCTCGCCTTCCTTGTTGGACTTTTAACTGGTATAATTGCCACCCTCATTAACCTTGCAGTTGAGAATATTGCTGGCTACAAGCTTCTTGCCGCAGTTAGTTTCATACAGAAGGAAAGGTTTGTTGCATTCCTAACCACTCTCAATGTTATATTCAGCTACGTCAATCAAAATCTCATATTATAGTCTGTTCAATTATCTATGACTACAAAAACAATGCGTGGGAATTATGTGGTGTAGGTACCTCATGGGGTTCATCCATTTAGCTGGGGCCAATCTCCTACTGACCACTTTTGCTTCCATTCTCTGCGTGTGTTTTGCACCCACTGCGGCCGGACCTGGTATACCTGAAATCAAAGCTTATCTAAACGGAGTGGACACTCCTAATATGTTTGGTGCTACAACAATGATTGTCAAGGTGGGTTGGCTTTTTCAAATTGAATGTGTCTCAAGATAATTTCAGTAAGTGACTGCTCTATTAGACTACTCTACAGTACACGAGAGATTTTACTTAATTTCTTCTGTTTATAAAGCTAAATGGCATGATAAACTTTCATGTTGCAGATAATCGGAAGCATTGGGGCTGTCTCTGCAGGCCTAGATCTTGGGAAAGAAGGACCTCTAGTGCACATTGGAAGCTGCATTGCTTCCTTACTAGGCCAAGGGGGACCTGACAATCACCGTATCAAATGGCGCTGGCTCCGCTACTTCAATAATGACCGTGACCGCCGGGATCTCATTACTTGTGGTGCTGCCTCTGGGGTATGTGCAGCTTTCCGAGCCCCTGTGGGTGGCGTACTGTTTGCTTTTGAAGAGGTGGCAACATGGTGGAGGAGTGCCCTTCTCTGGAGAACTTTCTTCAGCACAGCCATTGTGGTCGTGGTGCTTAGAACTTTCATTGAAATATGCAATTCCGGGGGATGTGGGCTTTTTGGAAAAGGAGGGCTTATCATGTTTGATGTAAGCACTGTTACTGTGACATACCATATGATGGATATCATCCCCGTAGTTGTAATTGGCATTATTGGTGGAGTTTTGGGAAGCCTGTACAACTTTTTTCTCCACAAGATCCTCAGACTATACAATCTCATAAATCAGTAAGCAACCTAATCCAAACTTCAATCTTGTAGTCATAACCATAAACGGATTTTAGGATGTAAAGTAACCTTGCAAAGCTAAGCCAACACCAGAATATACTCAGCTGACCATGCTTTTAGTAATCTGAGAGAAATGGTTATTCCATGTTTGACAACCAACACAATGTGATGTCAACTTGATAGTAATAATTACTTCTTGAATTACTCTCTTGGCAGGAAGGGTAAAGTTCACAAGCTCCTCCTCAGTCTCAGTGTATCACTCTTTACCTCTGCATGCTTATATGGTCTCCCTTTCCTCGTCGAATGCACACCCTGTGATTCCTCTCTTGCAGAGTCTGTCTGCCCCACCAATGAAGGGTCTGGAAACTTCAAACAATTCAACTGCCCAGATGGCCACTACAATGACCTGGCTACTCTTCTCCTTGCCACTAATGATGATGCAGTTCGAAACATCTTCTCGACTACCACATCCACTGAATACCATCCTATCTCCCTCCTAATCTTCTTCGCACTTTATTGCATCTTAGGATTGTTTACCTTTGGAATTGCTGTGCCAACTGGACTGTTCCTCCCCATCATCCTTATGGGCTCAGCTTATGGCCGCATGCTTGGTATCGCCATGAAATCCTATACGAGCATTGACCAGGGGCTTTTTGCTGTTCTCGGTGCAGCTTCTCTAATGGCAGGATCAATGAGGATGACAGTTTCACTATGTGTCATATTTCTTGAGCTCACCAACAACCTCCTCTTACTGCCCATAACAATGATTGTCCTCCTAATTGCCAAAACAGTAGGAGACAGCTTCAACCCAAGCATCTATGAGATTATACTGCATTTAAAAGGTTTGCCTTTCTTGGATGCACATCCAGAACCATGGATGAGGAATCTGACCGTAGGTGAGCTTGCTGATGCCAAGCTGCCAGTAGTCACCCTTCGTGGAATTGAAAAGGTGGAACGTATTGTGGAGGTCCTGAGAAACACCACACACAATGGTTTCCCTGTTATAGATGATGGAGTGGTGCCACCAGTAGGATTGGCCGTTGGGGCAACAGAAGTACATGGACTAATCCTTCGAGCTCACCTTGTTCATGTGCTGAAGAAGAAATGGTTCCAAAGAGAGAAAAGAAGAACAGAGGAGTGGGAAGTGAGAGAGAAATTTACCTGGGTTGAGTTGGCTGAGAGGGAAGGAAAGATTGAGGAGGTGGCCGTGACAAGTGAAGAAATGGAGATGTATGTAGATCTGCATCCCCTCACTAATACAACACCTTATACAGTGATGGAAAGCATGTCAGTGGCAAAAGCTATGGTGCTTTTCAGACAACTGGGACTCCGTCATTTGCTCATTGTGCCAAAGTATGTAGCAGCTGGGGTAAGTTGATCAAGCATTCTCATTTTACTAAACACCATGCGCTTGTTAACTAGAGTTACAACTTACTTACACCTAAGCATATTTATTCAGTACATTGAGCAAATTTATTCAAGATGGTCTTTTGTTATACACTAAAATTTGTAAAGGCCAATATCACTAACCTCAACGTGTGCTCCATTTATAGGTGCCTCCCGTGGTTGGGATCTTAACCAGGCAAGATTTAATAGCCTACAACATTTTGAATGCCTTTCCACATCTCACAAAAGCCACAAGCAGAGAGAAGGGGAACTGAAAACGTCTTCTCCTCAACCAACAGAACTAGCAGCTTTCCTGAGCAAGACATCGGTTTCTTCATTATTATTTTTTACTCAATTATTTATTCTTTCATCCAATTCCAAAGGAGTCAGGTAGATACACAACAATCTGCAATTTCATTCACTTGTAACTATTCATATTACACATGTCTCAGTCGATGATGAACAAAATTCCTTTCTTCAAAAGGGAAAACAACACAGAGGTATTGGTTTTGTTATTTTCTCACTCTACTAGATAGATTATCCTACTCTTCTTCTAGTAATAACCCCAGCAAAATACATCATTGAAAATTCTTCACAAGCGTTTCTTCTTCTTCTTTCCTAATTTCTTTTTCTTTAGGCTGACACCTTGGCCCCTCTTGAACACAGCTAAAACCTCGATGCTGCAATCATGGATAAATAAATAAAAACTTGTCATGGAAAACTTAGCAAAAAAGAAACTGGAAAACAAAAAGATGTATTAAATGCAAAGATGATGGAATTAGCATGACAACATATGCTACATTCCATTTTTGCTATGTCAACCATCTATCCTTCTTTTTTGGGAAGTCAATTTCTGCCTAGAAAAGTACCAAAAACAAAACAACGTCTGAATGAAATGCTGGAAATCTTGCATAATCGATCTCCAAAACAAATAAGCATGAATTTATTTTCAATCAATAATGAATGAACCTATAGTATATATGCATATCCATGCAATTTAATTGTAATAAGATGCATCATATGTTGGAAACAAGGGGGTTAAAGAAACTGATATATACCTCTGGGTTCCAGGGAAAAAATTATATCCATGGGCTTTTTCCAACTTCCATGCCTTGCCAGACAATAACAACTCGCAATCCTGTTGAAACATCAATCCCAAATTACGTAGAGGTAAAAAATGATAACAATCAAACCAGACCAAGACGGGATTGGAAAATCAGAGCAGAATATAATTATTTCATGGAACTTTGTAGCAACCAATTTATACCTCTTTGAAGCTTTCCCATCCACAACTAATATAAATAAGGGTTCGAGGCAATGTTTTGCTATCCTCTGAAGTTATTTTGCTTCCAATCTGAACTGAAGCTTCTCTTGCACGGAGCATCCATGGTCTCTTCTCATCCTTTTCTTTTGAGCTTGAACTGAGTTGACATATAAATTATCGGAACTAATTACTTTCCACTAGGACCACCAGTGAGGTCCTTGACTTCAATATTTTGAATGTAGAAAGGGTCTAACCTCTCTGAGGATGACTTAGCTTTATACTCGGCTGAAGATATACTCCGCAATGCATCAACAAGAGATGCATCCAGTCCCTTTCTAGGAGGATCCACAACAAGTACATCTGATCCCGTGATCCAAGAAAGAGGTTCCTAGTTTATTTGTGAGAAATATTATAAACCCAACTATTCAGCAGAAATCATAAAGGAACAATAACGGAGAAACCTTGAAAATTGCTTTGTATACATTTTAATATAAACATGAAATTCGTAAGAATTCACATACTAAATAATAATTTAAAATTTATTCTCATACTTTCTCTTTAACAAATTATTGCCATATTTAACATCTAGACCTGAAGAAAACAGAGATCTCTACTATGAGGTAAAAATTTAAGATACATACATTAAAAATTTCAAAGGGTTACCAACTTTAGAAGTATCTGCAAGATACCAGCTGATACTGCTACTATCTACTAAGTTTGGCAGGCGGTCAACTGTCTTCTCAAAGGATAGTTTTGATTCTTTGTTAATCTCGATGCACCTAACAGACCTAGAAAATAATAATAATTCCATATCAGAATGTCTTATATTTAAAAATAAAGACTGAACTTTTGAGGTTTTATACATTCACAATTATCCCAATTCTTGCCTGCATTTTCTTGTCACAGCTAATGATAATCCAATTACACCAGCTCCTGCATACAAGTCAGCAACAGATGATCCTTGAGGGACATACCGTTGTAACTTCCGGAGCAAGGTATCAAAAGCCTGGGATGAAGTAACATTAGACCAGGTGATATAGAGTAGAAACTTTTTCAAGAAATGTAAAATTAAGAAGGTATGATTTTCCAGTAATCAAGTTTCAGAAAACAGGTTCCAGTCAGGATGGTTAGATGTTAAACCGAAGATTCCTTCTTTTACATGTTTCAAATTCTGATTCCTTCAGGATCCAATTATACCCTAAATAACAACTACATCATAATATATGTGCATGCTAAGGGACTTTTGTTTTTCTTTTTTCTTGTTCTACCCTTACATTTACAGTGGTTTATATGGCTTTAATTTCTACAATCACAGTGTGATGGAAGTTGATGTTAATGAAAATAAAATTATGCATTTCAGTCAAATTTCTATAGTTAGAAAATAAGATTAAAATACCCGTGTGTTTGCTTGGCCAAAACTGGATGGAGCCAAGGAGATATCAATTCCTCCAACATGTTCCCAGAAGTCTCTTTCTCCTAAAAGATGTCGCCATCTGTTCCCAAAAATTATCTGCATCACCGGGTAAACATATGTAAATTCAAGATCATGTAATAAAATGACTAAAATTAACCCTTTGGACTCACATTGTTTGTTGATGTCTGAAAGTTGGCCCATACAGAGTGAACCAGATTGACTTTGCTTCTTGTCCCACCATTTCTCCATATAAACTGGAAACAAAACAAGCATACAGACCATAGATTTCAAATATAATTCTTTAAAAGATAAGATTTACAACAGCAAAATAAAATGAAGTAGCTAGCTCACATTGGCCAAGGCATTCAGTTTTTCTGAATTCGGGGAATTTTCATTTCTTGAGTGCCATACTAAAGCTACCTGCACTTTACCTAGAAGGAAGTATAACTTAAACATTAGTTAGATTTCAGATCAATTTTTGCGTATCACAGAAAATCTGATTCTAAAACTCACATAATTATAATGAATTCAACTACTAACCATTTTTATATCTTTCGGAGGCAGGAAGAGATGTATCATGTGTTGTCACGGCCATCTGCACACCACCATTAATTGAGTTACCAGAAAATTACAACTTACTAGCATATTTTCCATGTACACTTTCATTATCTTGAATCTCACCTGCACATAACGTAAATCACCCGTCCCCTCATCTTCATCATATGGCTCAATGCTTAGTTCAGTAATACCTGAAAATAATATAAAGAAGTACAAAAATAATTCAACACTCAAAAACCAGAAAAAGAAACAAATAAACAAAGAAGAATACAAAATATAACAGGTAACATTGAGTTTTAATAACTGAAAAGGACCTTGTTTAAGCAGCTCCACCGCGGCATTAATACTTGGATGATGAGCTGCAAAAACAGAAAAAAGAAAATACAAACTAAACAAAATTAAAAACTGCAAAAGAAACAATTGAAGATCAATCCAATGATTTAAAAAGTTTGTACGATTGGGAATTTGGGACCTTTGCATTGAGGAATATCTACTACATTATGAGTGCCCTCCTGATAAAGCCCAATCAGAGGGTTTTCTGATGAGCCACGAACGGCTAATTTTGCACGACACCTCCATCCCCACTAGCACCACACCAAATAATATCAAGACTCAAAACCCTAAGTAATACCGGGAAGAAATTTTTTTTATTTTCTTCTATAAAAAAAGGCCTACACTTTACGAAATTGAGGGGGCAAATTGTTAAGTAATACCAGTTTGCAACTGTCAAATGTAAAATCTGAGACTCCAACGGCCTTGAAGAACTCTGTAGCCTCGTCAACGATGACCGGACGGTGGAGATTGAACTCGTGGGTACACCCGGAGCACCTGAATATCCAGGCAGCAAATTTAAAATAAATAAAAAAGTTAAGGCAACGATAATAATTATTGTGGGAAGAAAAAAAAATGTAAACTGAAAGGGTGTTGTCGAAAAGAGTTACGATTCGAAGTGTGGGCAGTGGAGGGCGCAGGTTAGCGAGGGCGGAGGGGTTGCGTTGGGGCTTAACGAGCGAGAAGGAGCTGCTGGAGCTGAAACAGCAGGTGGAGCGCGCACTGCGCTTGGGGAAACGTGGCAGGTAATTAGTGGAGGTGGAGGAGGACGTACGGAGAGGAAGCACAGAGGCATTGCTCCGCCGTACGATAACAAGATAAACCGCGTTTCTATTTTATGTTTCTCTAAAAAAAGAATTAAAAAACAAGAACATAGGACACTACTAAACATTGCTTTATTTTCTGAACCCAAAAAAAAAAAAAAAAACATTGCTTTATTTGCTTGCAAACATGTGCTTTTTACATTTGCAGTTTCTTCTGTGGTGGTCTATGAGCTTTTGTGCAGAAAAGTTCCAATGGATGAGACAAAACGAAGGAGAGCATCTTTCACTTTGTCAAGGAAGTGGAAATAGGCATATCTCCAGGACTTCTTGATGACCAAACTCCCACAAACTCCCCAGAACCCTACAATGAAACCTATCACTATGCTGATGATGAACCCTAGCTTTTTAGATTTACTTTCATCATCATCCTCTCCATCTCCACTTGGAACTTGAGGTGCTTCTCCATTGTCGTCTTGGCAACTGGGTAATGGATACCCGCAAAGAGCGGCATTGCCCTCGTAAATTGATGGATCAACCAGGGTCTGAAATTGGTTGCCTGTTGGAATTCTCCCAGACAAGTTATTGTATGACAGGTTGAGATGATTCAAAAATGTTAAAGAAACCATGCTCTGTGGAATTGAACCTGAAAGTTCGTTTGTTGATAGATCAAGAGTTTCTATCCGCTCCAAGTTTCCGATCTTTTCTGGGATATTTCCTGTCAAATGATTCATGGACAAATTCAAGGTGCCCAACATTAAAAGTCTTGTCAGCCCCACAGGCATCTCTCCTGACAAGTTATTGTCTGAGAGATCAACACTATTAACAAGGTAAAGGATGGAGTCATATACAAGCACTCTTCCTTTTGACACCACCTCCAGTTTTCCCTGATAACTGCTTATATCTTTGTCTGTGAACTCAGATTTGAAGCCACTCAAATTACCTATGCACTGTGGAATTTTTCCAGAGAGATTGTTGTGTGAGAGGTCCAGTATGTGGAGATTGGAAAGGCCACATAACTGTGAAGGTATGTTTCCAGTAAACGAGTTGAGCCTCAAGCTTAAAATCAACAAAGAGAGCATATTTTCTCCTATGGAAGCCGGAATAGGTCCAGAAAACTTGTTGTCACCAAGATCAAGACTCTTCATGTCAGTGCAGTTTCTCAAGGAAGGAACTTCACCGGAAAAGTTGTTGCTAGAGAGGATCAAGAAGTTGAGTAAAGTAAGAGAGCCTAAGGATCTTGGGATTGAACCGGAGAGACTGTTGTTTGACACATCTACAATATACAATAATGGCATTTTGTTCCAAAAATTAGGAATCTGACCAGACAAGTGGTTGTTTGAGATAACCATGGTTGTTAATTGGCTCATATTACTAAGGGACAGGGGAATTCTTCCACTCAAAGAGTTCCTAGAAATGTCTAGATCTGACAGAGAGGGCATCACTTCACCAATGTTATGAGGAATTGGTCCTGAAAACAGATTATCTCTAAGATACAGCATGGTGATGTTTGATGACCAGAGTGGGAGGGAGCCCTCAAACCTGTTCGAACTCAAATCAACGGTGCAAGAACAGCTGAATCTTAATGAGTTGGGCACCCTGCCGCTTAGCTGATTATAAGCGACATCTAGTTTACTCAATTGCAAATCCAACTGCCAAAACCAATCTGGTATGGTGTCTGAAATCAAAGCATTATTGAGTACCACCATGGTCAGCTCAGTCTGATTTCTGAGCCATGTAGGAAATTTGGGACCCAGTTTGCATGATCTAATGTTCAAGTATCTTAATTTGAAAGGAGGTATCCAATCAAAAGGTATGTCGAAAACTAAGGAAATGTTTGACGAAGCTTTTTCAATTGATACATCTTTTAAGCCTCGAAGTTTCGCCAAATGAGCTCCTGTTATGAAACCTTCCCATGTGTTTTCAGAGATATCTAGTGCAACCAGCGATGAGAGCTGCCCAAGACTTTCTGGGATGATCCCACTCATTTGATTTCTTGCGAGGTAAAACTCCTCCAAAGATGTTAAGTTTCCAATCGATTTCGGGATTGGACCGTGAAATGAGTTGTCCCATAATGTGAGGTATCTTAAGCTTTTAAGGTATCCCAAAGAATCAGGCAGTTTTCCTGTCAGTCTGTTATATCCCAAATCCAATGTCTCTAAGCTGCTGTTTGTGCATGCAGACAACGTATCAATGAAATTAGTAATTTCACCAGTAATTTTGTTGATAGAAAGTCTTAGCGTCTGCAAACTGCATAGCCTTCCCAAGTTTCTTGGCAACTGACCTCCAATGTCGGAATTCTCTGATAAATCAAGCGTCTGGAGAGACGTCAAACTACCAAATGTTTCTGCAAGTTCTCCATGGAGATTGTTGGACTTTAGGTGAAGGTGGACTAGTTCAGTCAGATTAAACATCCAGGGAGGTATCGTGGAGTTGAAATCGTTGCCAGAGAGATCAAGAACCAAAAGGGATGTGAAATTGATGGAAGGAAGAGCGAGAGGAAAGATGGAAAGTCTACAAAAGGGCAAACGCAATTCAACAAGGGAAGGGAGCATATTAACAGTGGGAAGCCAATATGATGCAGCCTTGGAAAGGTCAACTCCTTCCAAGTTGAGGTACTTTAAGGAAGAAAAAGTTGCAAGCTTTAGCCAGTGGAGATCATTCTCAACTGGTTCAAAAAAGTAATTACTGAGATCAAGATAAAGCAAACTTGAGAGGTTTCCAAGATTGGGGGGAATGGTTCCACCAAAAGATGCACCAGAGAGATTGAGATATGTAAGTTTCTCTAGTGATCCAATGAAACTTGGAAGCTGGACACCTCCAAAGTTATTCATGCTCAAATCCAAGTAAACCAAATCTTTCAAAACAAGCAAAGAAGGGTTGATCTCACCACCAAATCCAAATGCATTCTCTGCTGCTCCATCACCATCCAACCCACCTATTTTATAGCGATTGCGAAGATCGAGCCTGTTGACACGTCCCGTTATGTTGTTGCAGCCTACACCATTCCATTTGCAGCAATCTTCTCCCACCCAAGACGAAAGCCGGTCCGAAGGATCTGTAAGGCCTTGTTTGAGCTTGAGAAGGGCTTTCCTCTCTATATCCATGCATTTCACGTTATGATGATCAGCGGCACTGCAGAAACCAAGTTTAATGGTTTCAAGGTATAGAATTCCTGACAGTAAAATTAGTGAAACAAGTTGGATGGAAGCACTGCTGTGAACCATACTTGTTATGCAAGTATGCAATGGGAGGGATGATATGCAGGAGTGAAGATATGAGTCTGCAAGATTTAAAGAGAACAAATGTCCTGTACGTATTAGTAGGGAGGATGGAGAAAGAAAATTGAGTTTTTCTTAATAATAAAAATAAATTTATTTTTTATTATATATTATAATTATATATTAAAAGAAGGTTCGTTGAAACTAATTGATTAAGATATAAAATAATTTATATTTATATATAATAAAATATATAATAAAAAATTATTTTCTCTTTGAATTTTCGAAATTACGTGCCGTCCGGACGCCCTAACAACAAGGGATAGATTTGACCAGGGTGACTCAGATTTAGACCATGTCTGATAAATAAAAAAGTCAATTATTAGAAGACTCCGAAGTCAATTTGAGTTAACGCGGGGTCAATAGTTTGAGGGAGCCTTAATAATATATATTTTCGACCCCATCAAACCACGCTCGTCCAATTGATAATGACTTTTTAGGTTGAATGTTGCATTTCAGTCAAAGGGATAATTAAGACCCCCAATTAGTACTCAAGAATAATACTTGGTCCTTCCACCCAAAAAAAGAAAAAAGAATAACACTTGGTCCGCTCCATCTTCATGTTCAAAGAAACTATTAGACGTCGTCGTCAAAATGGAAGAGGTCCTGCTATATTTATTTTTTTAAAAGATTCCCAAATTTTACAGATTTCACACGAGGACATTATATTATATTAATTAAACATGAAACTGTTTATAATTTTCCTCCATCCATCACAGTAAGATCATATAGGTTGAAACAAGTCAAGCAGTCGAACTATAGAATTTGGAAATAGCGCCAATACACACTACATAGTTCCGGTAACAAAAGATGCATAAGCCAATCTCCTTGGTGTTTCTGTATAACCATCTATTTCAAGGCTACAGGAGCCCAAATATTTTAGGATCACAATCTACAATATGCACTTATCTCTGCGATCAATCATCAGTGCCAAAGTACCGATCACCAAATTCACCCATTCCTGGTATCACACGGAATTCTTCATTCAGTGCAACATCAATCTCTGAAGTGACAATCTTCAACGATGGAAACCGTTTGGAAACACAATGGATTCCTTCAGGGGCCTAAGGCAGAGGGAAACAGTGGTAAAAAGAATCAAACAAATGTTGACATTGTACACAAAAACAGTCGGTCGGCATCAAGAAAAACTCACAGAGATAAGGTTTAAGAATATTATATGCGCTTCAGGAACTCCTTTCTGTATGAGTAGTTCAATAGCCTGGTTAGCTGAGTTACCTACAAGCCAGTAACGTGGATTGTCACTTTTCACTCACCAGCAAGCAAAAGTTCAAAAGCTTGTTTTTAATTTGAAATTCTTACAGTAACTAATATCTACATGAAAAAAAACAGAGTCCAGTGCCCAAATTATGAAAATAAAAAACGGACTCCGATTTCTAGCTAGCAAAAGCCAACATGCCCTGCCATTTCAATTTCCACATTGTGCAGTATGTCTCACAACATACTCTTCGGCGGGAATGGCATAAGACATAATAAACAAATGATGTTATCTTTCTATCACTCCTGTGCATCTTGAGCAATGAGAATAAGAAAACACTAAAGAGTCCAAAAGTTTTCTTCCATCACCAACTACATTTTTCTTAATATATGCAGGTACCAAAGAACAACAGAACTTCAAAGGAAACCAATGGGATTACCTGTAGCAAGGACGGGGTCTAGAAGCAGGACATGGCGTTCTGAAATATCCTTGGGAAGCTTCTCATATATAAGCTGCTTAAGTTGTAGTTACTTGGTTATACACAATTTTTATTAAGTCTGAGTGGGAGGGGTTAGCTATTCGTAAATTTTCTCTACTTCAAAAACAGTTACAAGGTTACCTGTTTCCCATTGTCTCCATCACGGTGAATCAGAATCTTTCCTATTTTTATTCCTTTGCAGCATGCACGTAATGCATTTTCCATGCTCTCACCACTTACATAATAAACACAGAAAGATTGTTAAGACCTGACAACCCATATTTTGCCTGCCGGATAAATAAAACTTTTAAAATCAATACCTGATTTAAAGCTCACCTTCGAACAATTGAAACCCCACACAATTTCTTGCAGAAATCAACCCCAGTATATACTGATGCTGAAATAGAATAAATACAAAATTTCAAAGACACAATATTCTTTACTTAAATAAATATTGGATCCATGTTTATGTGAGCTTCACAATCCAATCATTCAACTAGCAACGCACCTCCCCCTCCAATGGAAAATCCAAAATCCTCAACTAACAAAGTTCTGAATCGAGTATGGAGAAGGAAATAAGAGGGTAAAGACATGTAATCAACATACCTGTTGGAGTTACTACTTGCTTCTCTGTGAATGGCAAATGGCCAAGGCCATGCTCCACAACCTAGAGGCCACATCAAAGTATAAGAACATAAAAGCTGAACTCTGGTAGGTTAATGAAACTTGACTAAGCCTGAAATGGAAAATACCAGACGAATTAGCCGATCTGAATAAAATACAAAGTCATGCTTTGATATTTCTCGGTCTCGAATCAGTGTATGCATACCTCTAATCTGTAACATGAGAAAAACTTGATTAAGGACTATAAAGAGATGAAAGTGAAGAAACAGTCATCGGATTGCAGACTGTTGGGACAACCCTTCAGGTTACAGGGTCCATCATAATGCAAGTGACCTATATATTCAAATAAACTTGGGCCAGTCAACCATGAAATCTGATTGATCACACTTTTCAGCGCTGAAATTTAAATATTAGGTTGGAGGTGGACATAGAAGGTGCCCAGAAAAGGGGTTTGGAAAGTTCTCTCACTGATATGCCATAAGCCCAGAAACAGAAACCAAGTTGACATAACTATCTTTAGCCTTCACCTACCAGACACATACCCTACCCTACCCAACCCAACTCATCCGACGCTGCTTTGTATAATCCACAATCTCACTGTTTTCTGCACTCAGAGTTGTACAGTTATTCTAGTTACTGGCATTTAGTAGTAGAATTTTTGGGCCACAGCTCAATGAAAAACAAGGCCAATAATTGAATTCAACATACAATAAATAATTTGTACTTGAGAGTCTTAGGATCAACAACCATAGCCAAGACTACCAAATTCCTAATGCCCCCAAAAGACAGAAGGTGAAGAATATGTTTATAACACCAAATAACAAATAAAACAAAAGGCATACCTGAAATGTTGACTGAATAACATACATATTGGGATAAATTTTGCAGAGGTCATGCTGACCAAGCTTTGTTTGAATATGTTGCACAATCAAATCAATGGCTACATGATTATCACCACCACGGGGAATGATCACATCAGCATACTTCTTTGATGGGTGAACAAAATCATCAAAAGCAGGCTTGACAAACTTGGCATACTGCACAATTAAAATAATGCTACCAATGTGATTTTAAGAGTTGAAACAATAAAATCTCAGCGGAATTACAAGACAATTAAACCATAAAAGAGCCACCCTATGTTCTTACTCAACTCCACAGAAAATTATGATGATTCAATTGTGTGCAAGGAGACTGTTCAAGCATGGGGTCTTACCATTTCAAGAACAGAATTTATGTCCCTCCCCCTCTCAACTGTGTCTCGTCTTATTCTACGAGCAAGCCTTACATCAGCATCTGGACAAAAACAAGATAACAAATATTCACAGAGAGAGAGAGAGAGAGAGAGAGAGAGAGAGAGAGAGAGAGAGAGAGAGAGAGAACAATATAAAAAAAGATATGAACAGCTCGTCACGC